CAATCATTTAGGTCCAAGCATCCTGAAGGTATTCACAGTCTGACTCCATCCCACATGGGCTACCCCCTTAATTGTCTTTTTTACAACTCAGAGGGTATCCTTTAGGCCTAATATGTTCATTGTCTCTGCTTGGCTTTTGTATTTATCTCCTCCGTACAACTAGATAATGTGTTCAAGACCTAGAGAAGTGTCTTTTATGTCATTTTTTAACTTTCCCCTGAAAGGCATGTCATAGAGTTTTGCTGTTAGAAACAACTTAATATTAAAAAATAAATAAACATGAGGGAACATCTGGGGCTGCTTTTATTAACTTTCTAAAATATATATCAAATGCAAAATACACATATAAGACTTTTCAGTTTTGTTTTTTGTAGAGACAGTTCATACAAGTTGGAGATAACAAGATCTTAAAGCTCTGGATTCTGTCTCAGCACAGCACCTGGATATGAAAAATCTTATTACCTGGACATTGACCTTGTGAATGCCACTCCATATACACGGAAAGCAGCAGAACATAGATAAAATGACTATCTCTAAGCCTGAGAACATAAGAACTTTGGAGAATTAGGCATTCAACCTTTTCCATAAAATGCTTTTTAGAAAAAATAGTAAGAAAAATAGTAACATGAAACTCTCTAATATTTTAAGTAGGCATACTGCATTATGACATGTGCCAACTGTAGAATCAAAATCTACACCATGAATTACTACTTCTTGGTTCATCAGAAAATTAAATGGTGAAACATTGATTGCTCTTGGAAGGATCCACACTATTGGGATAGTGCTTTTCCTTGAATTTGCCAAAATGATCATGAACTCAAAATATGGTGATTATTCAAAGCTATTTTGAAAAAATGACAAGAAGCTTATTATTTCTTTTATTTTTAAATATTTATTTTATTTATTTCAAAGGCAGAGCGACACAGAGGGAAAGACAGACAAAGAGAAGGAGATCATCTGTTGGTTCACTCCCCACATCGCCACGATGGTCAGAACTGGGCCAAGCTGAAGCCAGGATCCAGGAACTCCACTGAGGTCTCCCACGTGGCTGGCTGGACCCCAGGTACTTGGGCCATCTTCTGCTGTCTTTGTAGGTGCACAGGTAGGAAGCTAGATAGGAAGAACAGCTAGAACTAAAATCAGTGCTCTGATACAGAATATCAGTGTCACAGGTGGAAATATAACCTGCAACACCACAGTGCCTGCCCATTATCTCTTTTAATGCCTTAAACAATCCTGGCCTTTACAATTTATGATACCCACTCAACCACTCTTTCCCAACTTCCAATTAGAATGACTAGTAATTTTGGGGATTTTATCTGTTGTTTTATCTTTTCAAGTCATGACTGCACTGTGAATCATTCACTCCTTTCCATAGCAACCAATTGTCAAATAACAAATATATGGACTATGTTTTGTCAGCAGAGAATATACTATTAAGCCAGAGTTGTAATTTCATGTAGTGACCTCAAAGAGAGGGATAAAAAGTGGAAATGCTTTTTTATTTCAAAATAACTCATTTATTTTTATAAATATTTTCTGCACAGTATCAGATATACTCCAGACTTCTTTTTGATCCCCAATACAGTACTTTCCAGGTGAATTACTAGTCATTACTAATTATATCCATGTCTACCTGTGTGGAAGGATGAATCATAAGTATAACTCTCATTTTATGGAAGACAGAAACCAGACTAAGAGAGAGGCTGGGGTATGATCGTCTGGTTTCTGGTTTCAGCTCTGACATTGAAATTTGTAGCATGCTGCTTAACTGTTGGGGCCTTGTTTTTCTCACATTCAGGATAATGAAGTTGAATCTATGCTCCTTTCCAATCTCTTCCTCAACCTATTGCTCTACACGATTTTCTTGCCCCTATTAAACCTCAATATATTCTAGATATAGAAAGGTCATGGCCAATTCTGAAATATAGTAGAAAGATGCAAGACTATCTGCATTAAGTGTGGGCCACATTGCAAAATGAAAATGTTGGGGCCGGCGCCGCGGCTCAATAGGCTAATCCTCTGCCTTGCGGCACCAGCACACTGGGTTCTAGTCCCGGTCGGGGCGCCAGATTCTGTCCCGGTTGCCCCTCTTCCAGGTCAGCTCTCTGCTGTGGCCCAGGAAGGCAGTGGAGGATGGCCCAAGTGCTTGGGTTCTGCACTCCATGGGAGACCAGAAGAAGCACCTGGCTCCTGTCATCAGATCAGCGCGGTGTGCTGGCCGTGGTGCGCTGGCCGCGGAGGCCATTGGAAGGTGAACCAACGACAAAAGAAAGACCTTTCTCTCTGTCTCTCTCTCTCACTGTCCACTCTGCCTGTAAAAAAAAAAAAAAAAAAGAAAGAAAGAAAGAAAAAGAAAGAAGTTGGATTCTTTGTCTAAAAATTATTAATGATTTCTGGAGGTTGACAGAACATTAAACTAATTATAGGGTCTTCTGAGCATGGGTCCTTTGTGACTTAACAGCTGACACAACCATGAAGCCAGCCCTGAAGAGAAGGAAAGAATGTTTCTTTTGCCTTCAGACACCATTTGGGTCTTTCTTTTTTTTTCCTTTTTCTTTTTTTTTTTCTTTTTTTTTTTTTTTTTTTTGACAGGCAGAGTGGACAGTGAGAGAGAGAGACAGAGAGAAAGGTCTTCCTTTGCCGTTGGTTCACCCTCCAATGGCCACCGCTACTGGCGCATCGCGCTGATCCAAAGCCAGGAACCAGGTGCTTCTCCTGGTCTCCCATGGGGTGCAGGGCCCAAGCACTTGGGCCATCCTCCACTGCCTTCCCTGGCCACAGCAGAGAGCTGGCCTGGAAGAGGGGCAACCGGGACAGAATCCGGCGCCCCGACCAGGACTAGAACCCGGTGTGCTGGGGCCGCAAGGCAGAGGATTAGCCTATTGAGCCACGGCGCTGGCCACCATTTGGGTCTTAATAGAATTTTTGTGCAATGGTAACATGAATTATGAAAGGGAAGAAATAATGGGAATATAAACAGGAGGAAGCCAATGTTTTGTGGATATTTGAATAGGCTCACAGAGCTCACCCCCTCCCCTGCTCTGAGAGCAGCAATAAGTAACTGTGGTAGTTTCTGAAGATGCTTCCAGTGAACTATGTGTCTTGGCATGCACACCCTATGTAGTTCTCTCCTACATTGAACTAGGCTGGGCTGTAACATGTATTTACACATAAAAGGCAGCAGAATCTAGCCCTCAAAAAGATTGGTAATACTATTGACATGACAGCATACCCTTCTTCTCTTGCTTTATGAACATTGTCACGAATCCCACATTATGTGATGTTAATAGCCATGTTTTAAGAGAAAATAGTACATACGCGTATATATGTAATATCTACATATGAAGCATGACAAAAAAGTTTCAAATTGTTGGCCGGCGCCGTGGCTCAATAGGCTAATCCTCCACCTTGCGGCGCCGGCACACCGGGTTCTAGTCCCGGTCAGGGCGCCGGATTCTGTCCCGGTTGCCCCTCTTCCAGGCCAGCTCTCTGCTATGGCCAGGGAGTGCAGTGGAGGGTGGCCCAGGTGCTTGGGCCCTGCACCCCATGGGAGACCAGGAAAAAGCACCTGGATCCTGGCTCCTGCCATCGGATCAGCGCGGTGCGCCGGCTGCAGCGGCGGCCATTGGAGGGTGAACCAACGGCAAAGGAAGACCTTTCTCTCTGTGTCTCTCTCTCTCACTGTCCACTCTGCCTGTCAAAAAAAAAAAAAAAAAAAAAAAAAAAAAAGTTTCAAATTGTTAAATTTTAAATTTAAAAATGCTTTAGGAGGACAAAGAAAAAACAGAAATATTGCACTGTATCCGTAAGTACATATAATCATTGCTAACAAAATAATTTGAAGGAAAAAAAATCTGGAAGTTTCTGTTTTGCTTTTGAATATTTGCTTTTGGGAGCCTGAAGCACCACATAATAAGTCTGAGCCATCCCACTGGGTGCATCAAATGGACAGACTACATGAAGAAGTCACATAGTAAAGAAAGGACCTGAAACGACCTGGAAAAAGAGAGCAGAACAGCTGCTTCAGCAATCAACTGAGCTGCCTGACAACTTGGGCTGCAGCCGTTGTCCAGCTGTAACTTCCTGAGACCCCAAATGAACCCACAATAAAATCGCCCAGCTGAGCCCAGTCAGCCCACAGAACCACAAAAGATGATATACTTGTTGAGGATATTGCTTTCACATTTTAAAATGTGATTGATAAATAGGATTATATATATTTATGGTTTACAATGTGATATTTTTATATGTGTATACATTATGGAATGATTAACTCAAGCTATCCATCATCACATGTATCTTTTTGTAGTGGTTGTTTTAAGCACTAACTTTTGGGCTGGTTTGTTTCTGAAAAATAGATGATCTCAACAGTGAGCTCAAAAGGCTTCCCAATTTCTACAGGGTCATTGGATGCCAAGTTCCAAAGGGAAGTAGCTAGTGGTTGAGGCCCAGCAGAGAAAGGCACTGAAAAAGCCTTCATCTGCTTTTCAGTGTGGACAGGGCAGTGAAAGCAACAACAGCTCTGTATTTGGGTCAGTGGTTCCAATGCACTGTTTTAGAGATATGAGCTTTCCTTTAGGTAAACCTGTGTTATGAAACAGTGTGCCACGTAGTGCCAGCAAGAAGGAAGCCTAAGTTTTGAGCCCATATTCAATTTTCCCGTGATTATTTTGATTTTGTTTGACGTCTAATGACCATTAACCCTGAACATGAGCATGTATAACCAGTCCTCAAGGAGATGAGGATGAATTCACAAGTCCAGTGGGACTACTGAAAACATACTTGCTTCTCTGACTACCAACAGCAGCTCAGGAAAATCGTTTTCATACTGGAAAGACCGGGTATTTTAAGCACTTGTTTCATAAGGTAAGATTGTTTTTCCCTCCTACTGTCAAGGAAAACAAACCACTTAAAAATCTTATATTTGTTTCCTTTGCTCCTAACTAATAGTCGTTTTAAAGAAGAATATAGGAATGAAAGATGCCCAGGTTTATAAATGGTTTTTAAAAAGAAATAGCTATTTTTATTAACATATATAGGATTTTAAAGAGCTATAATAAAGCATGGTAACTCCATGAATATTATTTTATATAGCATTTTTAAACATTGTGAAAGAAAAGTCATTTTCTTATTGGCTCTTTATTTTCCCATCTATATTCAAATTAATGCAGATATAATAGCTGCCATCTCGCTTAACGATGGCAAGGAGTTATAACATTTCTATATAAAATTTTATTCTCTAATAGAAAAAAGAGAAATAGTGGAAAATTTGTTAACATTTAAAATAGCTGTAAAGTACATTGCCCACTCTAAATGGTTGCAGGTCTTAAAGAGACTCTTCCTTTTGAATATTCAATTCTAGTAAACATCACAGCCAAAGAGTTCCAGGCGAAGTGCGATACTTTGATTCCATGTTTTAGGAATGATACGGATAAACCTGGAAATGATTGGTGGGTTGAAAAAATTCTTCACTTGTCCTTTGGTATTGCTGTTTCCTTCAAAAATCTGAAAGGAAAATATGAGAAAATCTTTAATGAGGACATAATAGATGTAAAAATCTTATTTTTCTAATATTTTTTAGCTCAAACTGAGTGCATCAAAGAACACATACAAGGAGACTCAAAGTTCATAGAAAATGTGTATTATAAAAAAACTATGCACAGATTTAAAAAATTTTGAACTGAAACATTTTTATAATTTTTTAATATTTATTTTTTATTTATTTGAATGGCAGAGTTGCAAAGACAGGGAAGAGCAGAGAGAGAGCGAGCCTCCATCTGCTTGCTGCTTCACTCCCCAAATTACTGGGGCTGGGCCAGGCTGAAGCCAGGATCCCAGAGCTTCTTACTGGTGTCCACACGAGTACAGGGGCCCAAGCACTTGGACCATACGCTGCTGCTTTCCCAGGCACAACAGCAGAGAGCTGGATTAGAAGCAGAGCAGCTGGGCCTCAAATTGGTGCCCATATGGGATGTGGGCATTGCAGGCGGTGGCTTAACCCATTCCATCACAGTGTCGACCCCCCAAATAAACATTTTTTAATTCCACTTTTCCATGAACTTTTAAAGCACCATCACAGAGATGAATTATGAAGCAACAGGCATCCCTTTAGGGATTTCATTTCCCCAGCGATCTGAGTCAAATAAGGAAGAATCAATAAAAGTGACGTGGTGCTGTGTAAAGCTTAGAGTCTGCTGTAAGCCTTACTCTGCTCCCAGCCTCCTTGTACCTGTGTGGCTTTGAATAAGTTATTTACATTTTCTGATGCTCCATTTCCTCATTGGAAAAATGGAGATAGGAATATCTTACCTCATAGAAGTTGTCATAAAGAGTTAAAAATTTATGTAAACATACAACATGTGCCTAGTAGGTGTCAGATAGTGGACACCAACAAATGGTTAGCTATTACTAACATTTTACATATAATTCAATCATGTATTTAACTTTATTCATCTTTTTTGGCATATACCTTATATCTGCAACCAAAAATTTTTTTGGGGGGGTGAGGGGAGCTTATAACAATATCCAAGTTTTTCATTAAATAAAAGTTAAAAACTAAAAAAATTTTAAAAATGTACTTTGGAAATTTATATTCATTAAATAAAAGTTAAAAATAAAAAAATATCCAAGTTCTACACATGGCACTATTTGTTTATGACGGTGATGCTTTCATTGTATGAGAATAACTTGGTATAGTGAGAAATAAAACAAACAGATGACCAACCAGTTTAAAAAGTGAGAGATGATTTCAAGTTTCTTAACTGTAGTAACTGTTCACATTTGATGAAAATTCAAGAAATATCAGTTCCGTTCTCTGTGTTGCTTCACCTACCACTTTTAGCCCAGTTCCTGTTCCTGGAAAACTAGGTTCATCTCCTTAGCTTTGCCTCTTGTAGCATGTTTTAACCAAATAACCAGGAAATACATGAAGAAATCTGGTCTCTATTGGTAAGGATACCAACTGTTTTGTTTAGTAACAATATGACACCAAAAAGTTTATGATCTTGAGTGTTTTTGTCTAAAACAATGCTGATATATTATTTCACAGTGGAAGGTTTTCTGGATCCCCTCATTACTTTCTCAATCAGAGCTAACAAAACCTCACACCTTCCCCCTAGAGCATTACCCTGTTTCACAGATGACTCAATCAAGGTGGAAAGGTCACGTGCACAGGCCCGGTCGCAAGACCAGGCAACCACAGAACTAGAATTTAGATTTTGAGTAGTTCATGTCAGGGCGTATTTGTTGTTTCCATCAGAGCAGTTTGCACATAGCTTTCTCCTAGCCCTGAAGCCACGCCGTACCTTGTCCGCCGTGGAGGATTTCTGCCTGTAAGCTTTCCAGTCTACTCCCTTGTCACTGTAGTGAATGGTGTAGCTCCTGACAAACATCTCAGAGGACAGAGACTTGCAGCCCTGTGTGGCTATCGCGGTTATCTTCTTGATTTTGAGCAGATCGATTTGCAACCACTGTATGTTGTTGTTTGCCTGTGAAAATTATTTTTTAAAAAGTGGATAAGGAAGGTGTTAAAACCTTTGTTTTTTAGATCAGGACAACTCAGAAATATACACGACTCAAGCTCCCCCCCCCCCCCCATCTTACCCCTTAGGATTCACTGTCTTTTAGAAACTTTCCCAGTTTTTCTTTGTTGCTACAGGATGAGTGTAAGTTTTTTCTAAATGTATTCCACACTTTGCACAGCAACTTACTTGTATGTTTCTATCTCATACTGCTGGAGGGAAGCTTTGTTTCCTGGCATGCATCGCAATGCAGGCAGGTAGCTGGTGTTCACAAAATACTTGTTGAATGAATAAATGAATTTCACTTGAGAAAATTACTAAATTGCAAAATTATTAGTTACTTTTACTCTCTAAATCTCATTATGTAAAGCAAGTTTCTTTAAATACTATGATACTGGAGCAGAATTTCCTGAGAAAGAATTAGCATCTCTATGTATTTTAGAAAAATCCAGCTTTGCTTTTCTTTGCACCTCTAATGTCAAATAGCAGAAATAGTCTTTTTTCCTAATATTTCAGATGCAATATTTGAGAGGCGCGATAAGTCCCTAAGTAGGGTTTGGCAGAGAGCACAGTAATAGCCCTATCTCTGGCCTAATAAAATGCCCAACACCATGTTCAGTGGCATGCATTTGGAGAAAGAAGGTTAGAAGAGTTAAGTGATTTTTGGAGTAATCTGAGATACATTTTCACCTGTGGGGGACTTGGCCTGTCCCTTAGTCTTGTTCTCTTCTCTGTGAAATAATGACTGTTGGAATGCTTCCTGAGCAGCACCAAAATGCATGTGGATTTATGTGCATCTATATGTAGGTATACAAACAGATTCACATGCTATATGTATTTTTTTTTTAAATTTACTTATTCATTTGAGAGGTAGAGCTACAGACAGAGAGAGGGAGAGACAGAGAGAAAGGTCTTCCACTCACTGCTTCACTCCCCAAATGGCCATAATGACCAGAGCTGAGCCAATCTAAAGCCAGGAGCCAGGAACTTTCTTCGAGTCTCCCAACTGGGTGCAGGGACCCAAGCACTTCAGCCGTCCTCCACTGCTTTCCAAGGCCATACACAGAGAGCTGGATCAGAAGAGGAGCAGCCAGGACATGAACCGGCACCCACATGGGACGCCAGTGCTGCTGGCAGAGCCTTAGCCTACTATGCCACAGTGCTGGCCCCACTAAGTGTATTTTAAAGAAAATTAAACTAGAAGAATTGTATTAGAAATTTTTGCTAATTTCATGACATCTGGATGGTGTCTCAGTTGACTTCAAATCAAGGGTTTGCCAGTGAGTTAGAATATAGGGAGCTAAGAGATTTCTGTAGTCATAAAAGAGGCTGAGGTAAGTTATTCATGTTGAAAGGTGCATATCTGTGTGCATGCCTGCACGTGTCTGGCTGTGTGAGTCAGCCTTCCTAAAGAAACCCTACAAAGATGTTTTGTACTGGGGAAAGTCAAGTGAGGCCCATTTCTGACTAGCACTCCAGATTTTAAGTGATGGCATTAAAAATTAATGTGGGAGCCTTTATTACCTCACACAAACTAAGAGCAAACTACAGAGGGCGTGTGCATTTGGACTATGGATGCTTGCATCTTGTATTGGAGCATCTGGGTTCAAGTTGTGGCTTCACTCCTGATTCGAGCTTTCTGCTGATAGGTACTCTGGGAGGCAGCAGGTGATGGCTCAAGTACTTGGGTCCCTGCCACTCATGTGGGAGAAATGAGTTGATTGCCTGGCTCAACCTGTAATGTAAGGAGCATTTGAGAGGTGGACCAGTAGAGGGTCTCTCTCTCTCTCTCAAAATAAAATAAATAAAAATAGGGGCTAGTGTTGTGGCATAGTGGGTTAATCATCTGCCTACAATGCCTACATCCTATATGGACACTAGTTTGGAGTTCTGGCTGCTCCACTTCTAATCCAGCACCTGGGAAAGCAGCAGAAGATGGTCCAAGTCTTTGGGCCCCTGCACCCATGTGGGAGACCCAGATGAAGCTCCTGGCTTCTGCCTGGAACAGCTGTGGCTGTTGGTGTCATTTGAGGACTGAACCAGTAGATGGAAGGTTTCTCTCTCTCTCTCTCTCTGTAATTCTGCCTTTCAAATAAATAAATAAGTCTAAGTAGTATAGAAAACACTTCTTTTTAAGATTGTAAAAGAGAGGGAAAGGTAGCGATGTTATACCATGAGAGGTCTAATGGGTCATCTGGGAAAGAACTAGCTGACATCTCCTTATTTATTACTTATGTAATTATATGAGCTATATAAATATAATATAACATAGCATTTTTATTATTTTTACTTCTCTGGATGTCAGTTTTTCTCTCTCTCTGCAGAATTGCAAATGAGGTATTTGGACTGTTTGAACTGGTAGAAGGAACACTAGCCTGCTTGTTGAGAGAGTGGGATTCCAGACCTGATTCTAAAGTTGGGCTAATCTAAAATCACTTAATATCTTCTGTATTTAGAGTTAAATGGAAAAGTGTGGACCAGATGCTTTGGCACGCTCCTTGCCAGTCTAACATTCTGAGATTCTGTGTTTGGCCAGATGAGTCTCTAGACACGACATTTGTTCCCAAGACTGTCTGCATGGAGTCTGGGCTCTTGTGTTTCCTCCAGTAATATCACAATTCTCTTTCTAGTGGTCTAACATAAAGATAGATCCTGGAATTCTACAAAGACTGAAGAGAACTGCAGTGTAGATATCTTGAGGGAAACAGGAGGAGAGAAGTTTGGGAATTTGGATTCCACTGACTGAAAGGATTTTAAAGTTGTCTATGCAGTCTAAGAAGAAATGAAGTATGGAGTGAGAGTGGGTCGACTGTTAACTGTTACCTTAAAATCAAGTCACCAGAATTACCCAATGGGCTCATCCCAGGGGGAAAAGAACTCCCTGGAAGGTGTTCAGCTTCATCTCGGATTTATAACCTTGGGTTTACAACATTTTATCATCCTTCCAATTGTCTTAAGGAATCTCTCAAAGTTCTTACAAATGGACACAAAGTTTAAAGGACATTCTTAAGGCAATGAAAAATATTGTGGAAAAAAATGAGATAGGTTTTAAATCTAAATCATTTGTTCATCACTAACATAAGCTGTTTAAATAAGGAGTTGACGAACTGCAGACCATAGGCCAAATCCGACACACTGAATGTTGCTTGTAAATAGTCTTAGTGGAACACAGCTATGCGCTAGCATTTGAATTATTGCTTATGGCCGCTTTCCTGATATAATGGCAGAGTTGAGTAGCTACAACAGGGAATGTATGGCTCATGAAGCCTAAATATTTACTGTCTGGCTCTTTGCAAGAGTCATGTCCAATCTCATTTAAATCAAGGTCCACAGAGGTAATAAATGACCTCCCTGAGCCAAAGTAAAAGCCAGAGCTATTGAGGCAATAGGGTTCCGAGATTCTTTGACCTAGGATATTAGCAGGAACAGGGGCTGGTGCTCTCACTTTCCAGCCCATCCTCCTCCTTAACGCCCCTGCAGAGAGGGACTTTGTTTTCTTCTGGAGGGCTGAGAGGAACTCCATTCATAGGGCGTACTTCACCTTGGCTTGCCAGGCATTCACACGGCCCTGGGCATTGAGACGGGCAAGAGAGGGTTCCCAGTAATCTCCCCACCAAGATTTTTTAAACGAGGAAGCTGTGATTTGCTTGTTCTCTATCTTTCCACTTTCCATTCCCAGGGGTGCGGAGCATCCTGTCAAAAGAAAAGTCATGATTAATTACATGCCAGCAGCATTCCCTGAAAGGCATTTTTCACTGCAGAGGGGACAAGAAATAATATTACTACGGAGGAACAACGGAAACACCATCACCACAGTGCCAGTACCAAACATTGTTCTTGGGCTCTGCTTAGCTTATTTGATGCCTCTAATCATCTCCATTTCACTGATAAGAACACAGAAGTAGAGCAAGAAGCAATAACTTGCCTGAAGTATACAGCCAGAAAATCAGAAACTGGATTTGAACCCAGACAATCTGATACCAAACACATGGTTCTAAACATTCAGACCTACTTCCCTCCTTCAGAGAGACATGGACCCTGGGTCTTTGTGTTGAGGTACACAAAAATCCTGAACTATCCACGTATATAAAAAATATATTGTTTCTTTGTCTAATAATGACTACAAAGAAGATACAGTGGCTCCTAGGTGGCCACCACTTACTTGCTTTTTCAGCCCTTTCAGTGTGATTCATGTTATACACCCTTTGAAATTTTGCCACGGCTTGATTTTGAACATCACAGGCAGTGAGGCTGCTCTGTGAACGTGAGAATATGAGCATACCCAGCGAGTGAGCTTTGCTCAGTGCCTGTCATCCCTGTGACACTGTTCTTTTTTTTTTTTTTTTTTTTTTTGACAGGCAGAGTGGACAGTGAGAGAGAGAGAGAAAGGTCTTTGCTGTTGGTTCACCCTCCAATGGCCGCCGTGGCTGGCGCACTGTGGCTGGCGCACCGTGCTGATCCGAAGGCAGGAGCCAGGTACTTATCCTGGTCTCCCATGGGGTGCAGGGCCCAAGCACTTGGCCATCCTCCACTGCACTCCCTGGCCACAGCAGAGAGCTGGCCTGGAAGAGGGGCAACCGGGACAGAATCCGGCGCCCCGACCGGGACTAGAACCCGGTGTGCTGGGGCCGCAAGGTGGAGGATTAGCCTAGTGAGCTGCGGCGCCAGCCTCCTGTGACACTGTTCTGCTGGTAAATCATCTGGAAGCTTTCTTGAAATCACACCTGACTTTCCCTATTTCGAATATTAATTTTAGAAATCCCAGAAAATAAAGAAGAAAGCAATGCTTTCTTGTGTTAGAAAACCAAGTACAGAACACCGATGTTTAAATCAATTAGCAGAGTTTGAAAGTCACATTGCAGGGTAGCCTGACTCCAGGATCTGAAATCATCTGCCACTTACAGCCCATATTATGTAGAAAAACAAAAACAATGAGTCATGAAACTATTTCAAGGAGTGCTCCTGCCTGTGTAAAATGTGCGTTTTATGTAGGAGATGTTATACAGTATCACTACCTGCATGCTGGCAAAATGCCCGTATTTGTCCCTCTCATGTATGAAAACGGGAGATTGCACCATCATCTAATTTGATGAGAAACTGATTCCAAGGCTCAGATGCTTTCTGCGCTGTGACTGATGACTTCCTCTCTCCACCCCAGAGAAGCTACTGCAGCTCCCCAACAGTGTTCCTCTGCAACTTGCCGCTGTGTCTGTAATCAGATATTGATACTTCTACCCTTAGCCTTCCAGTTGCTGGGTGGTCCTGGATCTGCCAAACTTTAAGTCAGTTGTTTCATTCTTTCAAATGCTTGGCAGACATTTTGCATGTGTGCTTGGAAGTGAAAAATAAAGGAAAGCACAGCTTCAAGGATCAGAATCATGGACAAGACTATTAAACACCCTTGCTACATATAGTAGGTTTTTAATTTTTTTTTTTTTTTTGACAGGCAGAGTGGACAGTGAGAGAGAGAGACAGAGAGAAAGGTCTTCCTTTTGCCATTGGTTCACCCTCCAATGGCCGCCACGGCTGGCGCGCTGCGGCTGGCGCACCGCACTGATCCGATGGCAGGAGCCAGGTGCTTCTCCTGGTCTCCCATGGGGTGCAGGGCCCAAGAACCTGTGCCATCCTCCACTGCCTTCCCGGGCCACAGCAGAGAGCTGGCCTGGAAGAGGGGCAACTGGGACAGAATCCGGCGCCCCGACCGGGACTAGAACCCAGTGTGCCGGCGCCGCAAGGTGGAGGATTAGCCTAGTGAGCTGCGGCGCCGGCCATCATATAGTAGGGTTTTATGATGACCATTTATGATTGCTTGGATTTATTTATACCATAGGATGTGTCACATTCCCTGAAAAATAGCTGCTTACATAGAAAAGACAAAGGATACAAAAGAGAATACAGGGTACAATCCTGATTTTAAGAAATTGGGAAGCGGATTCATATTTCAAAGCTGTTCATTGAACACCAAATACATGGTAGCAGTTTTGCTAGAAACTCCGTTCCATTAAAGTCTGAGTGGTCTGCAGGGCTTTGGGAGAGTCAGGCCTTGTTCTAATCTCCGATTGTTCTCATTGAGAGTGGAATGACGGAGGCAATTCCAAGTAAGGGCTCTTCCTTGGAGGTCGTGGTGGTGTCCACATCAGCCAGGCTTATGCAGACAGGTGATGCCTACCCCAGCTGCTGGAACCAGTCTCGGTCTAGAGCACACTAAGAGTACTTCCAGGTGACATCTCTGTTTCACAAAGGTTTTCCTTGGCACCTGAGTCACTGAAAGAAGAATTTACCATTCTCCCACACCTCCCACGTCCTGATTGTCAGAGCAAGGTTTAGAAAATAATGCATCTTTGTTCCTTACCATTAACCTCACAACCTAGCAGCTCCATTCGAAGGGCAGGTCTGTTGTAGGACCTAATTGGAGAGATCCTGATGTACCTTGCCACAATAGGCGGGTCAAACAGATTCTCTTTTGTTGTGGATGCATCTGAGTTGCCATTGAAATACTAGAAGAAAAGAGGAAATCTTACTTCTGCAACAATTCTCTATGAAGTGATTTTAATAAATCTTGATTACATATTGTAATATTCAGTACTCATCAGACCTGAACCAAATAATTTGGTCTTAAACAATAATTGGTGACATTTCCAGAAGATGATGTAGATATATTTTGCTGTAGTCCTCCTGATAAGGACAGCTAAAAGCCTTGTCCTTTATACATAAAGGAAACACAAGAACACTCTGAATAGTGGAGAAAATGCAGCAAACTGGCTAGGGTTCTTGGGTCCCAGGGAACAACAGGGTGCTGTGTTTCCTGTTTTATGTTTTTTCCCCCTTGGGTTATCCCAGTCTTGGAGAGGCAGAAATCAAGAACCTGGAAACACCAATGGATACAGATGGGGAAAAAAATGCCCTAATAAAATCCTACCTTATCTAGTCCAAGAATCAAGAAAGGGCAGCCTGGCAAGACAGAAAACATTTTTGGGCAACAACTGATCCACTCCAATAAAACACCACAGAAAAAGAATGTGGCTCCTCTCCTGCCCCAGGCAGCAAAGACTTGGGGGAGACTAGATGTCTATGTTTGTGAGACTGAAGAGGTTCCCTCAAATCCCCACTGGATCTGAGAAGGCCAAATGGGGACTTGGGATTTTCACCCCTTGGTTCTCACCACAGTAGTGTCAGTGGAACTCCCCTTTCCAGCCAGAAGAAAGAGGAATCCTCCGCTGTAAGGGGCCGGCAGAGGCCCAGTGGGAGACAGGCACTTTGACTGCCACCTGGCAGTAACCAGGTTGTACCCAGTTCTTCCCTAGTAGAGCAATGTCAGGATGCTAAAACAGAAGGGCAGATGTCACTAAGACTGAGAACAGAGAAACAATGGAGAAAATTCAGCAAAAGAAAGAGTTAGTTCTCCAACATTTCAAAAAGTTAACAAATCTGCAGCAAAACTAAAGGAGCCAGCCTTGCAGTGTAGCAGGTAGTGATGTCAGCATCCCATATGAGTGCCTATTCATGTCCCAGCTGCTCTACTTATGATCCAGCTCCCTGCTAATGGCCTTGGGAAAGCAGTAGAAGATAGCCCAAGTAGTTGGGCCCCTGCTATCTATGTGGGAGACCCAGATGAAGATCCTAGCTCTTGGCTTCCCACTGTCCCAGACCCGACCATTGTAGCCATTTGGGGAGTAAACCAGAGGATTAAAGCACTCTCCCCGCCCCCTCTCTGTGTTTCACAATGAATCAATAAATCTTAACAAAAAAAGAGAAAAAAAGAGAAATTCAAATTGCAGTATCAGAGATAAAACAGGCAATATCATCACAGACCCTGAAGACATCAAAAGGCCAAGAAGTGGCTACTACAAATAACTCTACATACATAAACTGAACACTTAGAGGAAATGGACCACTTTATCTAAAACCACAAGTGTCTTTTTTTTTTTTTTTTTTTTTTTTTTTTTTTACAGGCAGAGTGGACAGTGAGAGAGAGAGACAGAGAGAGAGAAAGGTCTTCCTTTGCCATTGGTTCACCCTCCAATGGCCGCCACGGCTGGCACGCTGCGGCTGGTGCACCGCGCTGATCCGAAGGCAGGAGCCAGGTGCTTCTCCTGGTCTCCCATGGGGTGCAGGGCCCAAGCACTTGGGCCATCCTCCACTGCACTCCCTGGCCATAGCAGAGAGCTGGCCTGGAAGAGGGGCAACTGGGACAGAATCCGGTGCCCCGACCGGGACTAGAACCTGGGGTGCCGGTGCCGCAAGGCGGAGGATTAGCCTAGTGAGCCGCGGCACCGGCCTGCCACAAGTGTCTTAACTTACCCGATATGAAATATACAATTTGAATAGCCCAATAGCTCTTAAAGAAATTGAATTTATAATTTTTAAAATTCCCATAAAGAAATCTCCAGGCCCAGATTTCTAGCAAATCTTTAAAGAATTAACATCAGTTTATCTTATGAAGTTACTATTATCATGATATGAAAACCAGAAATAGATATCAAAAATAATCAAACTGCACACTGACATGCCTCCTGAATGCAAAAATCTTTAGTCTGTAGCCTTAATTGTAACCTGTTTTCCCTCTCCCCATACTGACTAGTGAGAACCATAATTCAAGATTTTCGTGGATTTATCTAAGTTTATTGCAAATAATTACTAGAAATAGCTAAAGGATAATACACAAAAGGTGAAATAATAATTAACTTCCATAAAGTATAACTGGAACACATTCAGTTATTGGCCTAATAATGGCAAATACACTCCTTGCAGTCAGATGGTTTTCTGTGGGGAGGAGAAATGAGAGAAGGGGAAACATTTGGACTCTTAGGCTGAGCCTACAGAAGCTCAGCCGGCAAATGTCAGTCCTCAGCCGTGACCCTTGAATGAGTCTGAGAATCACACTGCCTCAGAGCACTTCAGGTACATTGAAATAAAGAACAAAATACAATGTAATAGTCAATTCAAAAGTCTTGGTCACCAACTTTTAGCATGAACTCCTTGGGGTAGAAGACCAGATATTCTACTCTGCTGTGCATTATCCGACAACTTGAAGAGTCTGATATTTTATGATATAGTTATTTTTTCCAGGTTATATGCGGTTTTGAAGTTTCAGCAGTACTGCATATTTCTTTCACTTATAATATGCAGACCCATCATATTTCCACTTGCCTCCATTAGACCCTTAGAAAGCTGTTCACATTTCTAATATCCAGAAGAGTATTTTTAACAAAGACAGGCTTAATCACAGACATAGTCATAGTAACCCTAGGCTGAGTTCTGAGATTCAGAGAGAAACAAAGACACAAACCATCACATTCCGGGTGCTGTTGCCTTTGAAGATCTTCCAGTTGGTCTGGTCAGAACTGTAAGCCACACAGAACTCAGTAATATAGCAGGACTTCAGATAGTGTTTGGCACCTTGGGTCTGGATTCCTGTAATTACAACTTCCCTTTGCATGTCCACCTGCAGAAGAGCAAAGTCAGTAGATGGAACTGTCTATGTCAACGAGTTATATACTAATTTAATTCATTGTATATTTGGCTTCTTAAAACTAAGAGTAGCACCTAAGTCTTAGCAAAGTTTGAAATGCTAGCTCAATAGTAGAACACAAAGTATCTGGACTTGAATTCCAAGGCAACCCTAACAAGCTATGTGTTACTTTGGGAAGTTAGTAAACATCTATATGTCTTGTTTTGTTCTTCTTTCAAGTGGGTTTTTACTGTCAATAGCAGTAACTATTACCACGTTAATAAGACATACTTGTATCCAAGTTTTCCAGGCAGATTCTACTGTAGTTTTTTCTATACTCCAAGCATTATATGATCCACCATTATTTAATCTTGCTAATCTGGGTTCCCAATAACCTAAATTCAACACAAGAAAAAAAATTGTGAGTATTCTGAATTTAAAATAAAAAAATAGAAAATCAACAATCTCTCCAGTGACTTTAGTTCAGTGGAAAACTAGGTCCTTGGAAGACATATGTTACAGTTAGGAGATTAGGCAGCTGACACAACATTGGTTGCTAAGCCTGTCCCTGAAAATGATGAAACTTGGCTTGAGGTTTGTGTTTGGTCAGCTGTCAACCACCATCCACCCATTTCTTGCACAGGAGTCATGTTTGTCTTTCTCAGCCGCTGCAAAATGTGCCTGCCCAGTAGAAAGACCTGGGAGGGGTGGAAGCATCATGATCCTCTTTTGATCTCAGGAAGGGCTTTGAGGCAAAGCGAAGAACCTTAGGAGAATTTCTGCCATACACTCAGAGTGAGTGGTCAGCAAAGTTTCTTAAACAGATGAATGGTTGCATAGGTAAAGTGCTCTATTAATTGGTGCCTAATGCCTGGCTTATGAGACTATGTGAGAGGTTGCCATTAAACTGCTGCCTGCAGTGCCAGCATCTCATATCAGAGTGTCAGTTTAAGTCCTGACTGCTCCACTTCTAATCCAGCTGTTTGTTAATGCACCAGGGAGGGCAGCAGAAGATGGTCCATGTACTTAGAAACCTGCTGTCCATGTGGGAGAACTGGATGGAATTCCAGGCTCCTAGCTTCTGCTTGGCCCGACTATTGTGGTCATTTTTGGAGGGAATCAGTAGAGGGAAAATCAATCTCAATCTCTCTCTCTCTCTCTCTCTCTCTCCCCCTCCCTCCACCCCAATGTAACACTGCCTTTCAAATCAATAAATAAATCCTTATATTATAAAAAAGGCCCTGTGAATCTGACTGGAATATGTGCTCAAATCCAGAAAGATGAATGGAGAGACATAGAAATGGGCACATGTCATAAAAATAATCTATTTATTCTTGCTGAATCCCTCTAGAAAAGTCAGACTACGTAGGTAGAGGTATTAACCACTCCACCTTTGGTTTTTCCCTGGAAGGCACTGGTTGGGCACATTATACACTACAGGGGTGGCAATGATAAAACAACACTGATAGGCTTTTAGCACCTGCCAGAGTGCTCCTTCCCTTACCACACGAGCACTCCAAATGGAACTGCTTCACTATCTGGTGGTAGGAGAAAAGCCTGGAGAGGAAAAATGACCATTCGGCATGATTGCCATGCATGGTTTCACAGGATGTACACGGCATAGTTGTTGGAGGTGCCATTCGCAGGCTACTTACCCAAATACTCAGAGGCTTTGATCTGTGAATCAGCTATGGCACCAGTGCTTAGTCCCAACGGCTGTTTACATTCTAAGGTCGAGAAATGGATAATTTTGCTTAGAAAATACATATATCAAAGTAAAAATCTCCTCTTCTAAAGGCTATGCCTCTGAAGGGTGAGTAACTGAAGATTTTTACCACTCTTGTATGGCATGGACTTAAGTATGTCTGATCATAAAACGGTAAATACATTCTCAAGATTGGTGCGTCAATAGGAATAGTGTTCCTCTAGAGGGAAATAACTGAAATCTTGAAATACAATTGTTTTTTAAACTGATTTCCATCTGCTTGTATCTTAAAGTAAGTACTAATACAACAGGAAGCACCACCTCTCCATGGGGCTGGGTTCTCAAAGTTTGGCTTGAAAGTTACATCTTGATCAAAGAAGGAAATACTTGTGGCTGTGCTATCTTGATGTCTGGATGTTGGCCCAGGGATTGGAACTGTAGAGACGTGTAGTGCAGTATGGGTTGAGGGATGGATGGACGGATGGATAGATAAGCAGATGGACAGATGGATACTGTTTCTTGTATTTCAGAATGCCAAATTCAGTGACTATGTCATTGACTGTGAAATTCCTATACCTTTTCCTTCCTCTACTTGTGGAACCTAAAGCATGTCTTCCCTACAATTTCTCATGGATCACAAATTGTAAGCAAGGGTGCTTTAGATTGGTTCCCTACTGGAGAGGAATGCCTTTGTCCTGAACCATCAGAGTTAAGTTTTCCAGATAACTGATATGAGTCCAGTGCAATCAGATCATGGGCCAGAATAAAAGCAACTGTGACTACAAATTATGCCATTGTCACTTCAGAATTCCGAGTTGAATGCTTCTAATCTAACAGTTGGTAATATTCTAGTAACAGGCACACTTCTGTTACAAAATGTGATGTGGTTCTTGGGTGATACCTTTGTCTATGATGAGAAATGGCGTTTGCATCCCCAATCTCTGGTTTTCTCCAACCTCTGTGTCTAGGAGCCACCAGCCAGGTTTTGATGCCTTCATTTCAACAGTGTTAAATGAACCTGAAGTTGAGAGTTAAGGACAGCATTACACATCCAAAGGTTAACAAGGACAGCTTGCCAACAATCCTAAAGGCCTTGTATCACAAGAAGCTTTAGAGTAGAATTTGAGCTATTCATTTCTGTTTAGGCAGGACTAGATTAGGAAACACACGCATAGGTTATTAAAAGTAAATTTGAGTTTGCCAACTTTTGAGTTGGTGAACTCAAAAGGCTTCCATAGCCTTGGCAACTCATGATAAGAGCCTAAGGTGATTACCTACGCCATAAACAAGAGTGTCAATTGTTAAGTCAACAACAGGAGTCACTGTGCACTTACTCTCCATGTAGGATCTCTGTCCTTAATGTGTTGTTCAATGTGAATTAATGCTATAACTAGTACTGAAACAGTATTTTACACTTTATGTTTCTGTGTGGGTGCAAACTGTTGAAATCTTTACTTAATATATACTAAATTGATCTTCTGTATATAAAGATAATTGAAAATGGATCTTGATGTGAATGGGATGGGAGAGGGAACGGGAGATGGGAGGGTTGCGGGTGGGAGGGAAGTTAATGGGGGGGGAAAGCCACTGTAATCTAAAAGCTGTACTTTGGAAATTTATATTTATTAAATAAAAGTTTAAAAAAAGTTGTATAAAAAAAGTAAATTTGAAATCTTTATATCCCCTTCTAGAAATAAACTCTCACTCATCTAAATGTAATGTTGCAAGGTAATCCACACTTGCAGATAACAGTGTGACAGTCCAACGTATCAAAGTGACTTTAAGTGACACATCGTTGGGCCTCAATACTGTTGTACCCATTTCTGTTCTCTCTTCATTTCAGTTTTTTTTTTTTTTGGCTTTTTTATATAAGAAAATCAAAACATTCCTTCCCCCACATTTTCAAACTTTCTAGAAGTAGTACATATTTGGATAATGAGTTACATACATTTGCCTCAGAAAAATCATTCAAAGAATAAGATTTCTAAAGTCTCTGATGATCTATTCTGATATTTAACAGTATCCTTTGCCAACTAATCGTATGTAGATTGTGTCTACTCTAATTTGTGACCATTCTCCAGATTGGGAGTCAAAGTTAATAGCTGATGGTCATCCTCAAACATAAGACCTCCAGGGGCACATGTTTAGCCTAGTAGTGAAGAGGCCGTGGAAACACATGCGCTCCATAAATGAGTGCCTGGGTTCAAGTCCTGGCTCTGGCTTCTGATTCTAGCTTTCTGCTAATGTGCACCCTGGGAGGCAGCAATGTGTCTCAAGTAGTTAGGTCCCTGCCACCCACATGGGAGACCAGAATTTCCTGCCCCTGGCTTCAGCCTGGCACAGCCCAGGCATTGCAAGCATTTGGGGAATGAACCCACAGGTGGAAGAACTCTGCCTTGCTAATAATTTCCTCTTAAATCTTCAGCTTTCCTCTCTTTAATGTAGATATGTTGGCTTTGTGATTTCAATGGACAGGTGATCATAGCTTCTCAGTCCATCTTGCAGGCCCATGGAAAGGATGACTTATCTGTTAATACTTGGTGAAAAGATAACCCCCTGTATCTCTGATCTTAATAAAGTTGGTCTTTCTAGATTTATTAGGGAATCACTGGCACACGTAGAATAACAAGGATCCCCTTCTCCCTTACTTTGAACCAAACCAGACCCATTGGACTTCTGTGCCTACATCTGAGGCAGACCCACAGGACAACTTCCCTATTCAAAGTTCTATCAGTGGACTGCCTCTGCTAGTTCCTCAGACCACATTTATGAAAAGGAGGCTGTTTATTAAAAATGCAAGCTCATGAGCATACTGCCCCAAATCTACCCTCTCAAGCCTGTGTTTTGCTGTTGCATTTTAACCAGCTTCCTAGGTTTTTATTAGATGCAGTAGAATAAGTAGATTCTAACATACATACAGCTTATCCACAAGAAGATACATCTACCAACAACTACTTTGCATGTTAAAATCCTTTCTGATGATTGTAGTTTGTTCAAATCTACATTTATCTTTATTTTGTTCAGACTAGCTGTAAATACTTAAATGGTTTTACAACCATTAACAAATTTTTTTTCTCGAAAAAAAACTTCATGAGTTAGTTCAAGATTATGATTTCTGGAGTCACTTGCCACAGTATAAAAGGATAATAGAGCCAGGAGAATTCAAGAATCTGGAAATGCCAGAAAATTTCTTTTTTTTTTTTATTTGACAGGTAGAGTTATAGACAGAGAGAGACAGAGACAAAGGTCTTCCTTCCATTGGTTCACTCCCCTAATGGCCGCTACAGCCAGCACTGTGCCTATCCGAAGCCAGGAGCCAGGTGCTTCCTCTTGGTCTCCCATGTGGGTACAAGGACCCAAGCACTTGGGCCATCCTCTGCTGACCTCCCAGGCCACAGCAGAGAGCTGGACTGGAAGAGGAGCAACAGGGACTAGTATCCGGTGCCCCAACTGGGATAGAACCCCAGGGTGCTGGCGCCGTAGGTGGAGGATTTGCCAAGTGAGCCAAGGCGCCGACCTAGAAAATTTCTTATCTCCTTCCCAGCAGAAAAATCTTGTGTTGCCTGAGCCCAGTGTGATTCATTTTGTCATCTGTTGAGCCCTGGTATGTGTGACAGTGGCTTGGGAGAAACGGCATGGGACGTATTAGGCATTGTCTTTAGCCTGTATGGTACTGCAGACAGTTTGAACATAGCTGACTATTTTTGTACCCTCTATATATTTCAGGTATATGGCTTTTCCCAAGATCTATGCCAGAAGCCTGTGTTCTGACCCTTTGGCAAGTGGATACACTAGGAGGGATTGAGGGTGAGTTACAGGTGTTGGATTTCATTCTCTTACTGTGTTTCAGAGCGACTTCTCTGTTGCCTAGATCTTTACCTGGCAGAAGGGGCCAGACTCCTAACTGGTGCTGTTGAGTGCCATTTTCCAGTAAGGTCTGCCCATGAAAGTGAACCACGTGTATGTCTTTGGAGCCACCCATGTTCAGCAAGTGTAACCTCACCCACTCTTGCTCGTACATTCTCAGGCCAGGCAAGCTGTAGATCATCCCATTAATGGCTGAAAGAAGAGAGTTGCAGTCAATTAAAAACCTGTATAGATCAAGAGGGAGGCGCGTAAGGAACGATGGGACAATCACTCACCCCCCCATCTTTCTCATTGCTCCACATTCCCAGTTCACTCCTGGCATAGGAGGGCCTTCCTGTATATCATCCAATCAGTGACAGGATGAAACAGAAAGACCACTCCATCTGATGTCACTCACACCAGCCCCCAGTGGAAGTTGAGGGAGCTCCTGTTTCAACAGTACAGCACTCTTTCCCCAGACTTTATACATTTTGCCTGCTCTGTGCTTTCTCCATTTATCCTTTACCTTGACAGTAAAAATTTGCTTTACTACAAAAAGATAAAGACAAATACAGGCAGATAAAGCAAAGTGAAAGGATTGGAGTAAGCGAGGGGATATGAGGCACATCATCCTAAGGCTTCATAAATTCAGAGATAGTTCCAGGCAATATGAAGAAGTTGGAGTTGAGATTTGGTATATGCACCAGCAGGGAGCGATACGTGTTTATCCTTTCACTGATATGTGGGCTTCCCTACCCTTTCCCAGATTAAACATCCAGACTCCTTAGATTTTGCCCATTCCCCTCAATGAAATACGTGAGGTTTTTAAAAGTACTTTGTAAACTCGATCCCCTTAAAAATAAAACATAACATCTCAGTGATAAAAAGCCGAGTGCTACCAAGCATGTATCTAGAACTGAAGTGAAGGGAGGTCTTTCTTCTCAAGTTAAAGGAACTGCGGTAGGATTTCAGCAACCAAAACAGTTCATCTCTGGAGATGGAGTAGTAGAAATATTTTTGACACCCTTAAAATTAGATCAGGCATGGGAATATCTATCTACACACATAGCATCAACTCCTATCCCCTCGTCTTAGTAACTGTTTAAGAAATAAATATCAGAAGGGTGAAAGGCATTTCAAGTGATTATTAGGTCAGCATAGTTAAGCCACTGCATCGGGATAGGGAAGTGAAGACTCAGCGTAACAGGTGCTCAGTAAACATTTGGCTGATGCAACTCTTTCATGTATTTACTAATTTAACACATATTTGTTGAGTACATACTGCACAGGCTAGGCACTGAGCTGGGGGCTGAGGTTTCAGGTGGACTGCACATCAAATGCTTTGATGATTACTACACCATATGGATTACCAAATTACAGACACTTGGACTGCAACACATTTAGGACTGAAACCACACTGATGCATTTTACTTTTTCTCTGAGAAATCAGGAGGCAGTACCTTGAAGGCATTCAGCAAGTAAAGGCACACCCAAGACACCAGCCAAGGGGTTCTGCAGCCTGTACTTTCCTACCAGATTGACAGGTTTTCGTAAAGGTGTGCTTCTTGCTCCTCAAAAGCACACTGGGCCGAGAGGCCTAGAGAATCAAAGTGGAAGCTCCACTTGCAGCTTGTTTGGCCAGCTGTTCTCAAGGGATTCAACTCTAGATCGCTTGAAAGAATATTTTAATATTTTTAACATCTTAATATTTAAAATCTTTTACTCCTTTTATGATAAGCAGAGACAATTTTAATCGGTGGGATTTTGTAGCCGATTATAAATCTTATCATTTTGCCTTCTTCTACCCCAAAGTACTGTGGTAGGTGAGATCACCTAGAAGTAAGAGTGAGAGTAAAAACAAAGAGAAGGGGAAGGAGGGTGTCTGTGCCTGGAGCATGTGAATGGAGGAGGGAGAATGACCTCCTCCGCCCAGGTGGTTTGCTGGGGTGGAGGTGGCAGTGGACCAGACATTGTGCAATGTCTTTTTCCCTTAAGTGATAGTGACTTTCTCCTTCCCTATTACACTGAGTGGCTGACTTCTCACCCAAAGCACAAATCCTCAGTGATCAGAAATCCAAGAGCAATCACCCTTAATCATCAATCTCTAAAATCAGGATTTATTGATCTTCATTTTTTAAATTTCTACTTCTTTGTGCTGCCCACCAAGTCCTAAATTCTGCCCATCTCTAATAAAACTGTTTTGTAATTCAGTTGCCAATGTACAAATAAAATTCCTGAATAGGTTTCCTAGTGGGCTAACTGTGCCTGGCATTAACTCTCAAATGTTCTCTCACTCCTACCTTCCCGTTATCCATGACCTAATTTCCTGCCTCAATTTGTTCTCATTCGTTCTGGATGTCACCTGGTAACTCCTGAGAGCTAGCACCGTTAGAATCATTCTGGTTTTAGAAGAGTCACAAGTTTATTTTGAAGTGCGGGACACCATGCATGGTTTCAGTGTAGGTCACCAGCTGAAGCACACCTGCTGTTTGTGTTGATTGGTTGATTTTACAACAGCCTCTGGGTGCTACCTTTGAGACTTTCCCTCCTCCCCTTCCCCAGCAGGACCACCTGCCAAGTTATAACAATCCTCTGATATGTCAAGGACTTGGTTTTAATTTAGCTCCTGCTTCCTCAGAAGCATCGCATGTTTCATCTTGTGAAGACCAGTGGCAAGAATCCCTGTAACACAGTATAATTTAGTTCAGAGATTAGATCAAACTCTGAGGAAAATACCATGAAACTCATAGGGGTTTTTGACTTCTGAGCTGGGTCTCCAAGACGTTTTGGACTTCTTCTCATAGTACCAGCTCTTCTTTTCATTAAAGACCATAAAGAGTAAGATAAATTCCCTCCTGTCCACGGGCATGTTGCTCGCCTTATGAAGTGTTCCTTTTCGGCAGACCAGAAGGGGCCCTATCAAGCCTGAGTGGATGTCTTTTTCCTGGAAGACAGTAAGAGTACAAAGCATGTATGAGGGTACTTCGAAAAGTCTGTGGAAATGGAATTAAAAGAATAGTTTATTTAGGAGTAAAAAATTGAAATCCATGCATGTTTCTTTCCATAATATGCATTTTCTATGAGCTTTTTTAAAGTATTTATTTATTTGAAAGGCAGAACAACAGACAGACATGAAGAGAGAGAGAGGAAGAGAAAGACAGAAAGATCTTCCATATTCTGATTCACTTCCTAAATGGCTGCAATGGCCAAATCTGGGCCAGGCCAAAACCAGGAGCCAGGGACTCCATCCTGCTCTCCTAGGGGGGTGGCAAGAGCTCGAGTGCTTTGGACCATCTTCCACTGCCTTCTGAAGTGCATTAGCAGGAAGCTGGATTGAAAGCAGAGTAGCCGGACTCAAACCAGCACTCCACTCTGTGATGCAAGTGGCGGTTAACCTGCTGTGTCGCAATACCAGCCCCCTCCATGAACTTTTTGAAGGCTCCTGGTGGTTTCCCTTTCTTGGGATTTTCTTTGCTCTTGTGACAATCGCTGATCATATAGAGCCAGAAATCTCCCCAGAGGCTCTCAGTTTGAAGATTATAAATGAATAGCTTAAAAAACCTAGATACTTATCATTCTAATTCCATTGCATTCATAGTCCTTTGATTTGTGCTTCCTTTTACTAATATTTTATCAGTTCAGATAACAATATTATTGCTAACATAATGGATACTACTTATTGAACATCTACTACTAAACTTTAGCCTGTAGTATTTCATTGAATTCTGACAATTATCATTCTTTAAATAAATGTATTTACCAGGTGCCTACCATATGCTATGTACTAATATGTCATAATTTCCCTGGGTCATGTCTCTTACTAGTGACAGGACAGAAATTCCAACCTAAGTCTTGCTTTTTCCCACTGTGCTTTTTCCCACTGTGCCTAAAGCAAAAAAAGTTTTTTCTTTTTTTCTTTTGGTGTGTAATGAGCATAATTGTTTGTGTTTACCAGGAGCAATGTATATTTTTGAAACATACAGGGTAGAATGATACAAATAAAACAGTCTTGACTTTACAGAATTAGTTCAAGAAATTGCAAATAAATGTCTTGCTCTGTAAATATAGGCACTTTAACTTGGGGCTGACTATTTAAGTAATCTTCTTTCCTGTCCACTGAAGAAATTTTGTCTCTCTGTCACCTGAAGAGCTGTATGGAGAGTTCTGGTTGTGGTTGTGCAGGCGGTGGACCAGAACTATTGCACAATCCTCTTGAAAGACAATGCAGATGTTTCACAAAAAATAATCAGGCCTTTCCATTTGGCAAGCCCAAGTTATAAGGTCAGGGCAAGAATACAAGCTGTCCAGGAAAGCACCTACCGAGTTCACAGCTGAGTAGTAGGTCCAGGCCCGACAAGCCGAGCCAGGGCTCTCCGGCCCTGATCGCTGCGTGGCGTGCCATACGTACGTATAACTGCAGTTTGGCTGAATAGCATTATCTTCCTGAAACCACTCAGGAGAGTCATCTTCATAGGTTTTTCCCTCCGAGGATTTTTCATAGGAAAGACCATGGGCATGAAGAGAATATGGTCTGGATGCTAAATTTTTGAAACGAACCTGGAAAATGGAATGATCCATGCGTGCAATTAGGGCTTAACACAAACACAAACCCCCAAATGTCAGCATTATTGGTACAAAGTGTACAGTAATGAAATTAGAGCTATGATGTAGTGAGTGCTTATAATTGTAATTAAATATCAGTTTACTTTTTCCTATAGTTTTTGCAACCATCTCATGAGACAGATCCAAGTAGGCTAGCCCCAGAAACATCAAGATATCTTAGGCTCAAGGATAGAAAATTGACATTGTCTACAAATGAGATGTTACTGTTAGGTGCGGAGAGTTAAAGATGAATGAGGCTTGGTCCTGGCTCCCAGCAAGCTTTTAATAAGCTACTGGTGGTGTGAGATGTGCACAGGTGAACTGGAGCTCCAGCTACAGAGACAACAGGTGCTATTAACAAAACGGAAGTGGGATTAGGTGGGAATGCCCCAGAAGAACAAACCCAATCCCACAGAACGTTTAGGAGATGTTGAAAAAATTAAGGAAAGTTTCTTTGAGGAAATGGAATTGGCTCTTATGGAATGAACAGGAGCTCAGCAGAGAGAAAGAGGACATTTCCAGCTCCCAGAAGAGCAAAAACATGCCATGGTGGTGGTGTGGGGGGGTGGAGCTGGGGGGACGACAGGGATCTGGGTGTGGTGAGACTATGGAGTGAACTGTGGACTTGGTGAGAAATGAGACTGGAGAAGACCAGGTTGGGGCCAGATTGGGACCAGATGGTAGAGGATCTTAAATGCCACGTGAGAAGTCTGCATGCCTCAGCACAGCCAGGCCTGTGGAGAAAGCTCCTCCCAGCTCCTCTTCAGTAACTTCTAAGAATTAAAAAATCCCTAAGCATGAGAAAGGACTGTCACCTCTCATATCTTCATGGATCATTTAGAATGATTAAAAGTCTCATATCCCCACTTACTTGTATTTTTATAAGACAAAAGATGATTGAAAAATTTAGCAATATCTTAAGAATGTTTTTGGGTCTAGGAAGCTAGTTTACTTTAGACTTCAGGGCCTTTATTTATTTATTTATTTATTTATTTTGTGGTAAGTAAGTTTAAAAACAATGGGCTAAATAAACTTTGTTATCAAAGCCAACTATAGACCTGGAACTGGATAGAGGATTTTTAAAGAAATGACCAGGACTGGCAAGATTCTTGGAAAACCTGCTCGCTTTTGGAAAGCATGAGACACCATTACTTACCTTATGGATTGTCCTTAACTTCACCTTTTTCCCTTTTAGGAATATATCAGGAGATATTTCTAAATTTTTATTACTCCCATTACCTCTACTACTATGAAACCCAATTGAATTGCTCCTGAACATACTAATTTTCCATGTTAGTTTTAGATAAAAGTTATAGTGTTACCTCTCCTATATTATATGCTTTCCAGCATTATTTTTCTGTATGTTATATATATATATATATATATATATATGGAGAGAGAGAGAGAGAGAGAGAGAGAAACACTTCCCTATCTGCTGGTTTACTCCTCAAATTCCCCTGCAACATCTGGGGCTAAACCAGGCCAAAGTGGGAAGCCAAGAATTCAGTCCTGGTCTCCCATGTCAGTGGCAGGGACCCGAGTACTTGAACTGTCACCTGCTGCCTCCCAGGGTGTGTATTAGAAGGAAGCTGGAATCAGGGGAGGAGCTGGGATGCACTCCATTACGGAATGTGGATGTCCTAGCATTGTAACTGCTAGGCCAAATAGCCTGCCCTAATTCTCATCACTTTAAAAAATTAGGAGTTTATCCAATTGCTTGGCAAGCATCCTTTGAAAGAAATGTAATTATTTGTTCTAGAAAAATGAATAATTCACGTATAGCTGTCTTGACACCTTCACTTTTACAATCCTGTAGCACTTGTGGAAAAGCCTATGGTCTTGGTAGTGCTCTAGATGACTTACTTGGATAACATCATCCACTTCAGCTCTGATGACAGGGCCAAGAATGCCAAGATGGTCTTCATTCTCCCCTTGAGGATCGCGTCTGGTAAAAGTGCTATCTAGGTACTTTCGAAAAACGACTTTTTTGTACACAGTGGCCTTTGGAATATCATCAGCATCTTCATTATGCATGTCATCACTGAAATAACAATAGTATTTGTTTAGAGGAAGAAACCAAAGGCCGTTCAAAAATTTAGGAATTTGTCTCTCTTTCTGAATGCAGTCCCTAACATAGAGGAAGTCTAGTAAATCCTTGTTGGAAAATGAATGAATCAAAACACAGTCCAGTAAATATCTTCCAACTCCCAGCTTAACTATCATTTTCTAAGTAATTTCTCATCATTCTTTATATTTACAAATATTATATAGTATATAGTGAATCCCTGTAGTATTTCTACCGTATATGTAGCAAATCACATGTGACTTATTTATGAGATTATCCATTAATATCTGGCTCTGCCACTAAGCTATAAACCTCATGAGCTCGGGTGTTGTGCCTAGCTGCTCGTGCTACTTTTCCTACCTAGCACTTTATCTGGTATATTGCAAACACTTATGTTTGTTGTAAAGCATATAAGTGAATGAATAAATATAACTGTATATTAACATAGCAAACTTTAGCATTAAAGGCAGACAAAATCATTCAATGAGATAGTGCCAGAGTTTGTTCAACAGAATTATAAGGCCACTCTTGTGAGGATCACAGGGTGGATGGATGTTTTGTACTCTAGGCATTTTCCTCACATTTGCTTTTGCTAAAACACAGTATTCCCAAGCTTTGCTTTGGGCAAAGATGTTTTAGGAATGGCTCCAAAAGCACAGTTAGTAAAAGTAAAGATAGATAATTGTGATTTCATCAAAACAAAAAGTTTATGCACAGCACAGGAAATAATAAAGAGGTGACCTATAGAATAGGATAAAATATTTGAAAATCATAAATTTGATAAGGAATTAATATCTAAAATATAGGGAACTCAATGAAAAAAATCAAATAGCCCAATTAAAAAGAGACAAAGGGGTCGGCACCGTGGCTCACTAGGCTAATCCTCTGGCTTGCGGCACCGGCACCCCAGGTTCTAGTCCCGGTCAGGGCGCCGGATTCTGTCCTGGTTGCCCCTCTTCCAGGCCAGCTCTCTGCTGTGGCCTGGGAGTGCAGTGGAGGATGGCCCAAGTGCTTGGGCCCTGCACCCCATGGGAGACCAGGAGAAGCACCTGGCTCCTGCCTTCGGATCAGCATGGTGCGCCGGCCGCGGTGGCCATTGGAGGGTGAACCAACGGCAAAAGGAAGACCTTTCTCTCTGTCTCTCTCTCTCTCTCACTGTCCACTCTGCCTGTAGACAAAAAGATAATAATACGGAGAGAGAGAGAGACAAAGGATCTGAAAGCCATTTCTCAAAAGAAGACATACAAATAGCCAACAGATACATGAAAAACTCTCAATGTGAGCAATAATCAGAGAAACAAATCACATCATGAAGAGACTCCCATTGCTTCACACCTGTTAGGATGGATGTTATAAGAAAGATAGAGATATGTGTTGGCAGGATGAGGAGAAATGGGAACCCTTATACATTGCGGGTAGGAATGTATGAGGAAATCTTCAAAAAATTAAAAATAGATCCATTTTCTGGGTACAAAGCCAAAGGAAATTAAATCAGTATGTTAAAGAGATATCTGCACTTCCATATTCAGTGTATAATAATTCACAATAATCAAGATATAGAATAAATCTAAATGTCTAGCAACACATGAACAGCAAAAGAAAATGTGGTACACACATGTTTTCTTTTACATATGGGAGCTAAACTTAAAAAATCATAAAACAAAAACAAAAAAAAGAAATGCCTGTGTGTATCAGTACTGCTGCAATATAGTTTTGTCAATTTTCTTTTATGCCTTTGTCAAACTAATGGTTAAAAATGTTATAATACAGTGGTTTTAATTATCAGTGATTCCTTTGAAATTTACTATATAAGAGTAAAATAATCATTTTTCCATTTGATTATAGTTTATAGCCTTTGCTTGTATTTCTGCTAAACTAGGTTCTCTTTGCTTTTTTTTTTTTTAAGATTTATTTTATTTATTTGAAAGACAGAGTTACAGATAGAGGTAGAGACAGAGAGAGAGAGGTCTTCCATCCACTGGTTCACTCCCCAGATGGCCGCAACAGTTGGAGCTGCGCCGATCCGAAGCCAGGAGCCAAGAGCTTCTTCAGGGTCTCCCACACGGCTGCAGGGTCCCAAGGACTTGAGCCATATTCTACTGCTTTCCCAGGCCATAGCAGAGAGCTGGATTGGAAGAGGAGCAGCCTGGACTAGGACTGGTGCCCAGATGGGATGCTGGTGCTTCAGGCCAGCGCTTTAACCCGCTGTGCCACAGCACCCGCCCTTCTTTGGTTTTTACTTGTTGAACTCTTTATTTGCTGGCGCATTAAGCCCTTGACTGTGGTGTAAATTTTTTTTTTTTTTTTTTGACAGGCAGAGTGGACAGTGAGAGAGAGAGACAGAGAGAAAGGTCTTCCTTTTGCCGTTGGTTCACCCTCCAATGGCCGTCGCGGCCAGCGCGCTGCGGCCGGCGCACCGCGCTGATCTGATGGCAGGAGCCAGGAGCCAGGTGCTTTTCCTGGTCTCCCATGGGGTTCAGGGCCCAAGCACCTGGGCCATCCTCCACTGCACTCCCTGGCCACAGCAGAGGGCTGGCCTGGAAGAGGGGCAACCGGGATAGAATCCGGCGCCCCGACCGGGACTAGAACCCGGTGTGCCGGCGCCGCTAGGCGGAGGATTAGCCTAGTGAGCCGCAGCGCCGGCCTCTGTGGTGTAAATTAAAGATATGTTAACTCAAAAGTGAAGGGGAGAAGGGGGGAGAGGGGCAGGGAAGGAGGGAGGGAGAAACAGGATATCATTATATTCTCAGAACTATTTCTGTGAACTGTGCTGAACCCATTACAAAAAAAAATTAAAACTCAAAAAAGGCATTGTGGTATATACACACTGAGATACTATTCAGCATAAAAAGAAGGAAACCCCATCTCTTTCTACAACATAAATGAACCTGCAGAACATACTCGTAGAAACAGAGAGTAGAATGGTGATTCTTAGGATTTGACTGGGAAGATGTTGGTCAAAAGATAAAAAATTTCATAGCTGGCACTGTGATGCTGCAGGACCAGTGCTTTGGCGTAGTGGGTAAAGTCGCCACCTGCAGTGCTTGCATCCCATATGGGCGACAATTCCAGTCACAGCTACTCTTCTTCTGATCCAGCTCCCTGCTATGGCCTGGGAAAGCAGTAGAATAGGGCTCAAGTCCTTGGGACTCTACACCCAAGTGAGAGAACTGGCAGAAGTTCCAGGCTCCTGGCTTTGGATCGGCCCAGCTCCAGCCATTGTAGCCATCTGAGGAATGAACAAGAGGATGGAAGACCTCTCTCTCTCTCTCTCTCTCTCTCTCTCTTCCTGCCTCTGTAACCCTGCCTTTCAAATAAATAAATATTAAAAAACAAAAACAAAAACAGAAAGCTAAGCCACCAGCACTCCAGCATCCCATATGGGTGCTGGTTGGAGTCCTGGCTACTCCACTTCCCATGTAGCTCCCTGCTAATGCACCTGAGAAAACAGGGGAAGATAGTCCAAATACCCCCATACGGGAGACCCGGTTGAAGCTCCTGGCTCCTGGCTTCAGCCTAGACCAATCCTGGCCATTGCAGCCATTTGGGGAGTGAACCAGCATATAGAAGATCTCTCTTCTCTCTCTCTCTCTCTCTCTCTCTCTCTCTCTCTCTCTCTCTCCTTCTTCTCCTCTTTATCTCTGCCTTTCAAATAAGTAAATAAATATTTTTAAAAAATACAAAATTTTCTTTAGACAAGGGGAGATCTAGTAACATAGTTAATAGCAATGTATTGTGTGCTTGAAAATTGCTGAAACGGTAGATTTTAAGCTCTCACCACAAAAAAATAAGTATGTGAGATAATGCATATGTTAATTTAATTGATTTAGTGATTTCATAATTTATATCTATATTAAATATCATGTTGTATACCCTCAACATATACAAAGAAAACCTTGTGGTACACTTGTACTATGGACTACTCAGCAATGAAGTGAACAGACTATTGATACTTGCAGTGGATGAATTTCTGGAGAATTATACTGAATAAAAAAATGTCCAATTCCTTAAAGTTACATGCTGCATAATTCCACTTATGTAATATTCTTGAAATGATATAATTACAGAAGCAGAGATAAGATTAACAGTTGCCAAGAAGAATGGAAGTAAAAAGATGGAAGGAGGTCCATGTGACTATACAGGGATTTTTGTGGGGATGGAAGCCTCCTGTATCTTGACAGTATTGATTGTACTTCTCTGGTTGTGATATAGTGCTATAGATTTTTAAGATATTACCACTGAGGGAAACTAGGTAAAAGAAACAAGGGATCTTTGTGTATTAATTTTTCAACTGTATGTGAATCTAAAATTATCTCAAAAGCTTTGATTAAAGTACAAAAAGATACATTTTCCTCCATATAGTTCATCAGCTCAGTTTGGGGCCAAAGTATGTCACGTTTTCCCACTGACTCTCAAGTTTTGCAAGTCTGTGGAAACAAGCTAAAAGCTCATCCATAGAACACATAAAGTTTACAGCTGTTCAATTAATCTCACTCTTCCTTCTTCTCAGTCTTTCTCCCATACTAACTCCATCCATTCAGATTCTCAGCCTAGCACATGATGCTACAGAATACATATTGGTCAAACAACACGACTGCCATTAAAATGCGTTGTAGGCCAGGCCTTGTATGGGATCCAAGATTTTGAAGGAACTGGTTCTACCCTTTTCCACTTTGGACAGGTCCTAAATCCTATCCTCTTATGGCCTTTCTTAGGAATCCTCAGAAAACCAGTTATTCTTGTGTACATGATAATGGGTGCTGCATCTAAATAGAACATTACAGGAGAAAGTGTTTTAAATAGAGTTTTGATGTGGAACTATCAGGCATCAAATTAATGAGCTAATTTGCACAAATCAATCTTACATTGTGTTTGCCTACTATAATTACAATTTGATTTTAATTGATTAACACTTAGCTTTTGTAAAAGCTGAGGGCTATGTTTAGATGATTTGTGACTAGTCATCTTGCTATATCCCTGAGAATCTGTAGTTTACAAAACCTTGCTCCTTTTTCCTCTCTTTTATCTCTGTATCTTTATCCCATGTCACAGAACCTAGCCCAATACAACTTTCTACCCCTCAGCAATATTGGATTGAAAATGATTTAAAAGAAAACAGGTACACAGATCTCCCAGAAACACTCCTTTGTAAATAAATAAATGCAAAAAGAGAGTTCTACCTACAAGCTTTGATTTGAGGTCAACTTCAGTTATATCTTATTGATTCGCAGATAGCTGAGTAGAATGGACTTTGCATTGGGTCAAGAAAATGAGGGATTAGGGAAATGTGTAATAAGAGAGGCTTATTTAACTACAGAATTATCATCACCTTCTCTCAGTGATTGTTCTTAGGTTGTCCAAGTGTCACCTAAAGCAAGAAACTAATCTTGGAACTCACAAAGTCTTGGAATTCACAGACCAAGTCGTGTCAGGTAGGAAATCAGATATGAGCTTGTGTGTGTGTGTGACAAAGGCCTAAAAAGAAGATGGCTAGGTCTAGCATTTGCATCTCAAAGTCATCCCGATAACGTGTCAGGGGCAGCCCAGTATTTGCATCCTGCCCTGCCCCCTTTACTCCCCTTTACTCGATAACCTGCCAGGTGGGGCTCCCTGCCCCTTCTGCCTGATAATCTTCCAGATGCAGCCTAGTATCTGCATTTCAAATACCCTGCTCCCACCCTGATACTCCAGGAGGTCTTGCTCACCCTTCCTCTAAACCCAGGGCAGAGCCAGCTAGGCTTCCTCCTGTCTGATAACTTCTGGGGGAAAACTCAGATAGGAGTTTCTAGTATTTACACCCATAAAGTCTTTTATTTCAGGAGGAGATGTGAGAAGACAAAGACCCATCTCCTTAAACCCTCCCCTCAGCCTCAACTGGACTGGACGCTCAGCCCTCTGCCTCTCTGCTGAGCCGCCCACCTGGATCTCTCTTCACTCAACCATGTAACCCTGCTCTCCCCGAGTCTGAGCGACTGGGCACTTTCAGGTTCTGTCTGGAGAGGTGCCCATCCATTCTTACGGATGTCCCTTCCCTAATAAACCTTGCTATTTTACTTTCCACTACTCTCTGTCTCATGCCTGAATTCTTTCTTGCGTGAAGACAAGAACCCTGCCATTCACCGGTAACAGTTACAATAGATGAACCAAGTTATACTTAGTATAATTTGCCCCAAATTATCTTGCTGGATCATGGTAATTACTTTTTTCAATACTAGTGAAAAATAAGAATATAAAAGGAGAAAATTACCCATATCTTTGTGCAAATTTTGAATAATCCCAAGATATTTCTTCAGCAGCAATGTAATAATTTCTCCTGTTTCCATTGTTGCTGCGGAGGAGATACCATGCTGCAATGCTGTCAGGATTTCTGGAGGAGTTGATATCTGTCCTAAGATCAGTTTTGTAAGGATCATCATAAGATACATAATCAATTTCAGAGGAGTCATCTTCTTCGCTCTGGACCTCCTGCCTTGGAATAATCTCAATGTAATCTCCATCATCTCCACTGACACCCACTACAACCAGTGGATTAACTTCTTTAAAAGTATCATTGAGTATAGGAGCAGATGAAGGAGATGGCATGTGACTAAGGTCTGGATAAACAACAGTCTGACCAGATTCTGGAAAAGGCAATGGCTGACCAGACTCAGAAGGGTAGGATGTCTGATCAATATCTGGAAGAGATGATGGTGTAGAAAGGATTGTTGGACTGATGTTTGGAGAGAGAGTCACCTGGCCAAGGTCTGGGAAGAAGGTCCCTTGGTCAAGGTCGGGGGAAAGGGGCATCTGGCCGAGGTCTGGGAAGGAGGTCCCTTGGTCAAGGTCGGGGGAAAGGGGCATCTGGCCAAGGTCTGGGGAGGAGGGCATCTGGCCGAGGTCTGGAGAGGAGGTCTCTTGGTCAAGGTTGGGGGAAGGGGGCATCTGGTTGAGGTCTGGGAAGGAAGTCCCTTGGTCAAGGTCGGGGGAAGGGGGCATCTGGCTGAGGTCTGGGAAGGAAGTCCCTTGGTCAAGGTCAGGAGAAAGGGGCATCTGGCCGAGGTCTGGGAAGGAAGTCCCTTGGTCAAGGTCAGGAGAAAGGGGCATCTGGCTGAGGTCTGGGAAGGAAGTCCCTTGGTCAAGGTCAGGAGAAAGGGGCACCTGGCCTATGTCTAGGGAGGAGGCTGATTGGCTAAGATCTGGAGAGATAGTTGTCTGCCCTATTTCACGTTCCAAGGAAGGGGACATTTGATTACTTTCAGTAGGGAAGGACTCAAAACTTATGTCATAGTGAGGCATCTGTGTGAGCTGTAGAGGAGAGGACCTGTGACTGGGGACTGTAGTCAAGTACATTTGATCAGGGTTTTGAGTAGGGAATGTTTGATGGTGTTCCTCTGGGGACACCATCTGATAAAGATCTGGAGGAGAACTTGTCTGGCCAGGGCCATTTGGGGGGTTCTGATTATGGTCAAGAAGTGAGGCAATCATGTCAACATTCACAGAAGGGGATGTCTGATTGAGGTCTGTGGGGAGAGATGTGTCTTTGTACTTATGAGGAAACAATGAGTGTTCAAGTCTCGTGTCTGTCTCTCCTGTCAGAGGGCGAAAGCTCCTGGGAGACAGAGGAACATAGTGTACAAGTTTCTCTTCCTTTTTCTTTTTTCGTGTCTTGATGGAAAACGGGCTTTTCTTCGGTCTCCTATTTCCTCCACCCTGCTCTGCTCGTAGAGACGTATGTTTGAACCCAGGAAATGTGTGGCCACTGTGCTTTCTAGGTTTGTTTGTAAAGGGGGTGTGTTCTTCCCAAGCCCTCGAGGCACCCTGGGAGCCATTTAGCATTTTTTTAGGAGCCACGTCTTCATCAGCATCTTGGATTATTTCATAATTGCCTTTCTCAGAAGCCACATGCCACTTCCCATTCAAAATCTTAGATGGGTCCTTTTGTTTTAAGAGTAACAGAGCACTAGGAATGTTCTCCCAGGGCTCCATTCTGGAAGGAGAAGCATTATTTTGGTTTGAATGTTTCTCAAGTTTATGTGTTGGTAACTCCATCCAGGAGAACATGTGCTTTGCTGCTCTGTCTCTTTGCACCTTGGATCCCTTGTGTTCAGCATGTTCTTGACTTCTGGATTGTTCTGCCTCAAGTGGAAGTAAGTGTATCCCTGTGATATCCGACTGTGAAGGATCTTCTATAGGGTCTTCTGAATAAGGGCTACTCTCTTTGGTGGAAGAGTTGAGAACTGAGTCATTGTCTAAGCCACCGTGGTGTCTCAGGGGGGACCCAGCTCCAGCGCTTCCTGAGTGAGGAAAGGTTTTCTGAGGTCCTGTGAGGTTATCCACCATGAGCCTACTGATGTTCCTTGGAGAAGAAGAATTTGAACCAAGAGCTGCACCTGTGCTTGCAGAAATGACTTCAGAGCTGCCCTCCAGGGCTAGGGCAGTAAGATTGAGCTCCTCTTCCTCCTGGTTCAGGGATGAATTTCTGAATGACCTAATTCCTAACGAGGAAGCCAGTGAATTCTGGTAATCATACTCAGCATCATACTCCTCATCTCTGTTTTCTGAAGAATCACGCATTTTCCGTGTATCTATGGGACTAGATGTTGGAGGTTGGTAAATCTCATATGAGTCGTCATCATCATCCCGGTTACATTTAACATCTCTGAATCTCAGCCTTAGGTTTTTGCTTCTTGGACCAGAATTTACGGTAGTTAACATCCAAGTTCCTACAGAAGAAAAAAGATAGAGCTGAACATCTGGGAAAAGATATAAAGCACTAGGATTCAGTGTGGCAGTTAATTTCTAATGAACTTTCATCAAGAAAGTGCAAGGGTGATATGTGGGACTATTGCTAATCTGTAAACTACTGATTACTGCTCCATGATGACAGAAACAGAAAAACTGGAAATAAAGGCCTTAAAAATGTTTTCCTCTTTCTCTCTACCTCTCTGTCTCTCCCTCCCTCCCTCCCTCTCTCCTTTCCTTTTGTCCTTTCTTCCTTTCAGTAATTTGATATGGTTGTGGCATCTAAGCACATGATCAGAGTACTTATCTCATTAAGCAGAATATACACCAAAAGTATTGGTCAATGGAGATTAAGGAGGGAAAAATGTCTTTCAGCACAAATGGTTCAAGCATCACTATCTTAGAATATATTAAAAAGAGGTGAATCAAGAATAAAGTGGATCCTGAGTATCATAAACATCCTGTTGGCTGACATTTACTTGAGAATTAGAGAGATAATGAACAAGTTTATCCCCACAAATAAGAAATACTCAGGTATTTCTAAGTAATGACTCAGGTAGGCCCAGGGCAACTTTGAATCTCTTCAAAATGTGTGAATTGCTAGCACACTAAAGATCTCCCAGGAACTCTGGAAAAGTTACTACTTACTGAAATCTGGGCACTTGGTGCACATTGTAAGTAATGATCAGAGCACCTTTGTAAGGTATTATTATACTGTTTTTCAAATTTGAGACTCAATGAAGCCAAGTAGCTTTGTCTAAGGTAACAACAGGATTTAAACTTGGGTCTGGCAAACTCTAAAGCTATCTCTGGGTAGCCTCTAAGGCACTATATCTAATGATTGCTAACCATAGGGGACCTCCAAATGGCAGAAAGGGGCTTTTTGATCAAGAAATGCTATTGAGTTTATAAAGTATTTATGCTTCTTCCTTATCTCTCTGCTGTTGTTTGTTTTTTATTTCTTGCCTTAGTCCAGAGATGTATAAATGGGGCCCACATTAAAGACTTTGACCCACTTAAGTCATTTATCTCCCGAATGCAAATCATGAGGAGCATTTGAAGGAAGCCTGCAGGGGCTCAGGGAGATGAACCAGGGGAGCAATGGTTCTCTGGAGAGCTATAGAAGAACTCAGCAGTGCAGAGATTAGAAGTCAGCTTCTTCTCCAAGGGTCCAGTTCTTACCAACATTGTCCATTGTGACGGTCACAGATTCTCCACGCATGGGGAAGAGGGTCAGGGTGTCCTCATGTCTCTTTCCATAGATGAAGGAGTGCCCAGTAAAGTGAATGGTCAAAATGTCATCCTGATTCCCCACACTGCAGAAGTGCCATTGGACAGTGTCATCAAAGCAGAACCCTAGAATGGGTATGCTCTCAGGCACATAACCATTGATAGCTGAAAGAGAAAAGTCTGTTCAAGTGCCAGGCCTGTGCCCACAAAAGGGATGTGACTAATTAAACCTACAATAAATGTTTCAGCATAAATTGATGTTGTGTCAAAGCAGTGACTATCCAATATTAGCCTTACCAGGTCTAATGTGCTAAATAGAAGATCAAACTCACTCTTCCCTAATGAGAGCATATGCTCTTAGTTAGCAAGCAACAATGTCAGGATAAAGATAATGCTTCTCATCTGCATCAATTTACTCTTTCCTGTGTCAAATGGATATCAAATATTTTGTTCCTTGTGTTCTGCCTTTAACGATATGATGAAGATAAATTTAGAATATTATCCAGAATAATTCTACCTAGAGGGAAAGCATAATATAAGGAATTCTTCTTGATGTATTAATCACTAAATGATAAGGGATGCCCCTAAAAGTGGAGACTATTTAGCATGTTTCGCCAGTTTTATTACTCCTTGCTTTCATCGATGATACAGATTTTATTCAAGTATCAAGTTCATATATTTTCATTATCATTTAAGAGATACTGCTTTAGGCAATATTTTTAGTTATGTACTCAGCCTGGTAATAAGATCTAGCAGGATTGTATCACCAAGCCCTGGACCAGAAGTGAGGACAAGAACTCTGCAGCAAGCATATCCTAATCCACATCTCCGCATGTGGGCATCGTTAACACTTCAACTACAAGAGTCAAAAATGACACAGTGTCAGACTTACTACTCATGATGTTTGAAGCATAAAACTTGGGGTCATCACGTTTCACCTCATCTGGATTTTCACAGAACTTGTTGATGTTGTCTTCAAGGTACCAGCTCTTGTTCTCATCGAACACAGCAAACACAGCCTGCTGCTCAATGTCAGCAGCTCTCTAGGAGGTGAAAGTGCTGTGTCCAGTGATTAGTGTTCCACGTGACTACCTACATCACTGAGTACTTCTCAGAAACCGAAGGGTCACAGTCCTTGCTGTCACAGAAGTCACACAGTTCAGGAATTTATCACAGTCCATTGTGTATAAAGCACTTGCTAAAGCTAACAGCAACACGCAAAGGCAGCCAGCCGAGTGGATCAGAAAATTCAGAGGTGAGACATCCCATTAGAAAAATCCCATTTCATCACAAATGGAAGTCTGCTTATCCCTGTAACTGGGAACCTTTCAACATGTGTGATCAATGGAATATGTTTAGAATATTTGGAAAGAGGGGCTGGCTTTGTGATATAGCAAGTTAAGTTTCTGCTTCCATCGCCAGAATACCACATCAGATCACTGGCTTGAGCCCCGGCTGCTCTATTTCTCATCCAGATCCTTGCTAATGCTCCTGAGAAGGTAACAGAAGATAGCTCAAGTACTTGGGACCCTGTCATCCACGCGAAAGACCAGGATGCAGCTCCTGGCTCTTGTCTTCAGCCTGATCTAGCCCCAGCTATTGTGGCCATTTGGGGGAGTGAATCAGTGGAGAGATCTCCCTGGCTCTCCCTTCCTCCCTCTCTGTCACTCTTTCAAATAAACAAATAAATCTTTAAAAAGTAAAACAAAATAAAACAAATAAAAACAATTGCAAAGAATGAGACAAGATTGTAAAAGGAGGGCTTTATCCCCTCCTTATTCATTTCCTTTCCTAAATCAACAAATCTGGCCTTTCCAAGGATCCATTTCTGATTCATCATATATTTGTTTTGGATGTACTGGCATGAGATCTCTTTGATGATAATTTAGCCTAACTAGAAATTTTTGGTTAATAACATGAGACTATTATTTCAGTAAAGACAAAAATCCTACATTTAGTATCATTGTTTCCAATATTTTTGCAATTTATATCATTATTTATTTAATTTAGCCTCTGGAGGTAGGCCACAGTCTGGGTCCAACTCCATGACATTGTGTCTCCATGGCATCTCTCCTGTCTCTCTTAGTGAAAGCCTCTATCTTTTTTTTATTTGACGGATAGAGTTAGGCAGTGAGAGAGACAGAGAGAAAGGTCTTCCTTCCCTTGGTTCACCCCTCAAATGGTCACTATGGCCGGCGCTGTGCCAATCTGAAGTCAGGAGCCAGGTGCTTCCTCTTGGTCTCCCATGTGGGTACAGGGGCCCAAGCCCTTGGGCCATCCTCCACTGCCTTCCTGGGCCACAGCAGAGAGCTGGACTGGAAAAGGAGCAACCAGGACTAGAGCCCAGTGCCCATATGGGATGCTGGTGCCGCAGATGGAGTATTAACCAAGTGAGCCACAGCACTAACCCCACTAGCCTCTCAAAAGAGATTGATACACAGCTTACCGTATCTCCCAGGTGGTGTCTCATTGAACTCCCCAAAAAAAAACCCTTGTAAAAATTTTAGGAAGGGGTTTCTCATTTGATAAAAGGCAAACACAAAGAGAAGCTAAGTGATTTGCTCATCACATAGCCAATACCAAGAGACTTGGAATTTTCAACTAAAACAAAATGCAGTTTTGCACTACAGACCTGCCTTCTGCAGTGAGAGTTCAGATAAAAGCAGACAAGACAAAAAAGTAGCCAATATAATACATGTTATCACAGTCACACTGAAGAGGATGAATTAATGTTTACTATTCTCAAGAAGGAAAAGCCCCCTTTTTTTTTTGAGATTTAAAAGCATTTAGTAGAATCAAGGACCTCCAGCCAGAGTGGCATGGAGGGAGGCTTCCAAGAGAGGAAAACCCAAGGAACTAGTTAGTGGCAGTCAGCTTTTTCAGTACAATTTCAGAAGGAAACCATACTGACAATCAGATTGGCATTCTGTTACTAGGCAGGGGGACAAAACCGTCCAAAGACTTCATTTACAATTCTCCATCCTGTCTGGCCTGCTGAGGGTGGGAGAGGTAACTTGTTCTCATTATGAGCTGTGAGCTCAGGTAGAGCTCCCTTGCTATTCTCATGGTAAATCTGGAGATTCCAAAGGAAGGAGGGCGGCCTGTTTGTTCTTGCTAAAGTTAATGTTTTGGGGAAGGAAGCAAATATTTTACACCCCAAATTCCACTGGGATCCCCTGACTATGATTAACCCATCTGACTCCTCACATTCCCTCCTCCCAGATGGAAGCCCCAATATTTGTTAAGGGGAACTGGGCGATGATCGCTCTGGCTGCTTCATGCTGAAAAGGGCCACCTTTGGGAAGGGGAGTCAAGACAGGATTGCAGCAGGAGGTGGAAAGAAAGCCTCATTTTTTATCAATCGCATCTAATCTGTTCCATCTAGAAGAAGGTCATGGAGCTTCTAAAAGGCTACTTCAAGGACAAAATACCTGTATGCCTCGCTTGTCCAGGGATCTGCTCTTACAAATTAGAAGTAGCCCTATAAGTCCAGAGGCAATGTCCCTTGTGATGTCCACGTCACTGTAGTATGGTCTTGTTAAACACTGAGCATCATTTTCTGTGGGCTCATCAAACTCTAGGATGTTCCATTTATAAATATAGGTTTCCCCTGGTTGAACTGCTCTGGTCACAGTTTTATTGCCTAGAAGAAAATATATTCAAAGATGTTTTCATTTGGAAAGATACTTAATGATGAAATTGATGATGATGATGATATATAGGTAGTTAAAATATGAGCTTTCATTAGAACCAATTAATACCAGGAAAGGAATATTCTCATATTAAGTTCTGCTTGGATTCCAAATAGATGTAGCCATTCAATATTGATCCACTAGAGGCCACTATAACTCTAATACAGGACAGTATTTGTGCCATTTAACAGCACTCCCCAAATCCAGGAGGGTTTGGCTGTGTGATCCAGTTTGGCTGGATGGTCCTGTATGTCTACTCCTTTACTGCCCTGGTTATACCACTGCGCAAAGAGGTCTGTAAAAAAATATGGGAGCCTCTCAGAGGTCACTAGTTTTGTTCAGTAGAAGTGAAAGATACAAACCTGAGCTGGAGGAAGAAGAGTTGACTTCAACTTCATAAGGGGACAGGGTCACTCCATGGGGGTAAATGCTATAGGGGCGGCTGGCTGAGTTTTTGAATACAATCTGCAAGGTTAAATCAAAGTTGTTATTTCAGGATTTAAGACTGATCATGAGAACTGAAATAGGATGTTAGCTTTGCATATTTGGCTATTGAAGAGGAGGGGGGTGTGTGTGTAGGTGTGTGCACATGTGCACATGTTCTAGTGTACATATATGTACACTGTGGGAAAGTTCTGTTTACCTGAATAGCAGCATCATCCCATTCCTTGGCAGGAGTGTTTCAGAGAGTTTCACACACATATTGATGTGGAAAATAGAAGCGTTTGACCTTAAAGTTGTGACAGTTTAGCAGCTGTCCCCTCTTCAAGCCAGTGCACATCCTCCTCTCCCTCTCTTTTCAGCTTGAGCCACAAGCCGCTTTCAGTGTAGGCCTTCTCATCTATGTACCAGATCTCCTTCCCCTGCATGACAGAGCTCCCAGGCTCATTGTCAATGAAATCATTTCCTTGTGGGACACAGGCAATTAGTCAAGTCCTGAACTCTCAAAGAGGTTTAAACCACCTAAAAGCACTTTAAAGGGGTCGGAAATGGGGCAGAAAGAATGCTTTGCTTAGCTTCTTAAAAAGATTTATTTGTTTGAAATGCAGAGTTACAGAGAGAGAGGGAGGGAGGAAAAAGGGGAGAGGGAGAGAGAGAGAGAGAGAAAGAGAGAGAGAGAGAGAGAGAGAGAGAGAGAGAGACCTTCCATCTGCTGGGTCACTTCCAAAATGGCTGCAAAGGCTGGGGCTGGGCCAGGCTGAAGCCAGGAGCCAGGAGTTTCATCCAGTCTCCCACACGGGTGCAGGGGCACAAGCACTTGAGCCATTTTCTGCTGCTTTCCCAGGTGCATTAGCAGAGAGCTGGATTGGAAATGGAGCAGCCAGGACTGGAATCAGCACGTATATGGGATGCTGGTGTCACAGGCAGAGGCTTAAACTGCTGTGCCACAGGTTGGTTTTTAAATGGACAAAATAGACCATGTCATGACCATTATTTATACAGGAGTCCTAGTTAGGCCCTTTAGTCTTTGTGAAAGATGAACAATTACCTTCTACTTGGTTGATTGTGGAGGCATTTGGATCATCCCTAATTGGTGGATAATCTGTGTTCTAGGATCTTGTAAAAGATTGCAACTTTTGATTGTCTGCAGCCCAGTTCTTACGATCTCAGTGATGTGACAAAACATTTAAGGGAAATTATTGGAGACAAACTCCTCACTCCTGATAATGTATTGAAATTGACCTGTGCTCGCTTCCGCAGCACATATACTAAAATTGGAAATTCACCTTCACCAGAGATCAAGCCTCAGAGAGCTGCTCAGCTAGACCACATCCAAGAATTGTTTTTACTCAACAGTGTTTACTTTTATGGTCTCAGCTACAAAGAGAAACATTAAAGAGCTATGAAGCTTTAAAAATATGTATTATTGAGACGAGTATTTGGTATAACATTTAAGACATCATTTAGGATGCCTACATCCCATTTAGGAGTGCCTGATTTCAGTCCCAGTTCTGCTTCTAATCCAGCTTCTTTCTAATGCGCACCCTGGGAGGCAGCAGGTGATGACTTAAGTACTTGGGTCCCTGCTACCTAGGAGACTTAGATGGAATTCCAGGATCCTGACTTTGGCCTGACTCAGTTGGGGCTGTTGTGGGCATTTGGAGAGTGAACCAGTGAATGAAAGGTCTCTGTCCCTTTCTTTCTCTGTGCCTTTCAAATAAAATGAAAACGAATTTTAAAAATTAAAAATCTATTATAGCAGTTGCAGGAATTTGGGCAAGAATACCATCCACTGTATCACATAGCATTCTCTTTTAAAGGCTCCATGGAAGAAATTCCTATTAGGTCTCAGTAAGAGTGAAAACTGTGCTTTTTAAAATAGATATTGTAAATATTGCCCTGGCATATTTCATTTTTCATTGTAGCTTTTATAAAGCCAGGACAAAATTTGCAGTCTTATGGGATTATGTGGCTTGTATGAGTATTTCATATAATGAGTATTTCATTATACTTATCTATGGCTTTATTTTCTTATTCCTCATATTATTCTTCACTCAGATTACACTCTTTGGTTTCTTCCTTTATACTTTGATAAACTGTCTAGCTCCATTGCATTATTAAGCAGACTATAAATAAGTACAACTATTAAATAAAAACTAAACTACATATGAATTTAAAATTATAATGCTTCTTTCTCATAAAAATAAACCAGTAATCAGATATCCTATGGCCTGTCTTTCACAGGTTATTTTCCTCTATGGTCTATATTTCTGTTACTTACTTTGAGTGTGTCTCTGACTTGGGCTCTAATAATAGGACCCAAGATCCCATCTTCTTTGATATTGGGATTGTCCATGCGTTTGGTGAAGTTCTCATCTTGGTACTGCTTGTAAACAACTTTCTTATAATGTTTTCCAATTTGGTTTGAGAAATTATCCAAGTGCAAAGACCTGTATTTTCTTAAAGTGAAATGAACAACAAAAACAAAAACAAATTAAAAGCCTTCCTCAAGTGGTATCCCCAGTACAATGGGGAAGCCCTTGTGCCGAAAAGTGCTACTTGTGGATTAGCTAAAAATGCTCTTTCTCTATAAAAGTTCCTCAGGTAGTTTGCAACACCGTCATGGTGGCCTCTTTCTAGTTGTAAAACTGGAAACCTCTGGGTTGACTCTTCTAACATCAATAAAGTCATAGTTGATTAGCTAGAAGCAGCTACTTCGATCTTCCTGTCACTCTTGGCTGATAACAGCCAACTTTAGATATCTCTGGAAAAAGGTCTATACAAGCTGAAAGAATAGGAAACACTGGAATTTTTCCAAAGTCTTTCCTATCACTTAATCTATGATATCCTTATTGGCCTCCTAGGAATTTCTCCATCTTTAAAAAGCATGTTCATTACTCCACGAAGGTTTTTACTTTGTAATAAATCTATATTAGAGTTCTGCACTGTTTTTCCCTTCCACTATCTACCCAACCTCGGAAACCAAATGAAAGCAACTTCCTTATCTACCCTCTGTAGCTACTGAGATAAATGACTCTGAGGCAGCAACACGAATCCTGTTTCCTCTTGGCCTTCTTTATCGCATAAGTTTGCAAAAGCAGAAATTCCATGATTAAGGATGCATTTTATGCACTTATTTTGTACAGTGACAAGCACTGACCATGGCTAGGACAGCTCCATCACTAATTATATAATCTTGTTCAAACTTCTTTTTTGCTCTTTTTGTTAATTTTTTAACAGGAATATTATTTTTATTATAGTGAAAACTCTCACACCCTCAACCTGGCCTTCCAACCCCTCCCTGAATTTTTTAGGTAGTCCCTTAAATTAATTTCATTTTATAGGGCCAGCGCTGTGGTGCAGCAGGTTAATGGCCTGGCCTGAAGCGCAAGCATCCCATATAGGCGCCAGTTAGAGACCTGGCTGCTCCGTTTACATTCCAGCTCTCTGCTATGGCCTGGGAAAGCAGTAGAAAATGGCCCAAATCCTTGGACCCCTGCGCCTGCATGGGAGACCCAGAAGAAGCTCCTGGCTCCTGTCTTCGGATTGGCACAGCTCCAGCTTTCGCAGTCAACTGGGGAGTGAACCATCGGATGCAAGACCTCTCTCTGCTTCTCCTCTCTCTGTATAACTCTGACTTTCAAATAAATAAATAAAATATCTAAAAAACAATTTCGTTTCATGTGCCTAATTCCAGAAATACTATATGAATGTTATATGTGAATATATATAAATATTAAATAAGAATATAATATGTAAATAAGCGAATATAAATATTTTCATCTCCTACCCTTTTAACAACAGAAAACTATCTATACTCTGCTCTCTACCTCAAAGTTTTAATATAACAATATGGTTTAAAGACCTCTTTGTATTGGTACATGGAGAATGTTGGTTAGCATTTTTTGCAGATGCCTGGTATTCCTTTGTATGAATATACTATAATGCATTAAACTAGTTTCTTATTGATGGGTATTTTGAGTCATTACCCATTTTTGCTACTACTAAAAATGCAAAAGTGAATACTCGATACATACATCATTTCATTTGTAAACAAGTATATCTACATATTTAAATTCCCAGTGTGAAACTGAAGCATCACAAGGCATATGCATTTAACATGTTGACACTTTTTCAAAAGGGCTTTACCAATGTACTCTTCCACCAGGAATGTATGAAAGTGCATATTTACTGCAGCAGTTTCAACAGATGATGTCATCTAGACTCGTGATCTGATAGATGAAAAATAGTATTCCAGTGAAGTTTAATTTGTATTTCTTTTATTACAAGTGAACTTGAGTATCTTTTCAAGTGTTTGAGAGCTAGCTGAATTTCCAAATTTCTGATTTGACATACTCCCACGTTGATAATGATAAAAAGTGATACAGTAGTATCAAACTTACAGAATTGAAGTGAAGTCCTTTAAAAATGTCTAAAGCAGTGTTTGGTAATAGAAGCCTTCACCAAGTGGTAGCTGCTGTTATTATTTAGACTGAATTCCTTTGGTGAATTTAGGATGATTCAAGAGTGAATCAGACAAGGAGATCTCTATATTTGTCTACTTGTGACATTTTGCTCCTGCACCATCTAGCACCCTAGGAAATGTGTCCTGGACCTTCACACAGTGGTGTGGACCCCAACAACTCACTTGTCCATGTTTGCTGGTATTATAGGTGCATAGTCCCAGATGACTTCCTCTGCAGCAATGAAGTATTCCCACCTCTTAATGTGCCGTCTCTGGTCACGAGTTAGTTTCTTGGGACTCCTGGTTTTCTTTGGGCAGTTTTTAATGTCAAGGTAAGCTTGCATTCCAGCTGAGATAGGATATACAGACAGTGAAAAAATTTGAGAGCTGAAATTAGAACTGATCTAAAATGCATATTTTAAAACTCCACTGGTGGAAGGTTTAAATAATCACAGTAAAAGGAAAACTCTGGCAATTTTTGCACACTTTGGATTGGAACTCTCATTGAGTCCAGAGCGGGCTAGAATAAAAAAGATGAGGAAAGGAAGAAGAGTTAGTAGAAAACCTTAGGGAGATCCCCTTTGTTTCTTTTGGAGCAGGAAGATGTTTTATGATATCCAGACCCTTAAAGCCCTGTGACTTCTGTCTTGCTGAGTTCTCATTTTTCTTGTTACCGTCCATTTGTCTGTGAAATGAAGATGACACTAATACTTTTGCAGTTTCTGTAACTTGGCGCTTCTGTATATTTGTGGATGTTTGTCGTAGTCCAGCACCAAGGCCTTTGTCTTCAGCTATGGATGAGATGTTCTCAAGAAAGACCACCTCTGTGTATGCACTTATTTCCTTCCTCTTTCCTCCTTTTAAGGAAGTCAGGGCTTCTTCACCTTTTGCCTAATTATAAGCAATCTTTGACAGTTCCTCTACTTCTTCCATCCAAATCATTGGGGTGTAAGAGAAGAGTTTTTAAAGGGTGTTAGAACCCAAGGCCTTTTTATTTGGGGTGTGGGTAGCTTGAAAGAATGAAGGGGATGGGGGGAGTTGGTACCTGGCAAGAATAGAGCCTGCATTTAGAATTAAGACTGTCAGAAGAGTTACCTGCCTTGGAAATGTTTAGGGATGAAAGAAGATATGATCCACCTTCCTTCTGAGCTCACAGTCATATTTGCCGTGGTGGATGTAGCACTAACAAGGGTGATAGCTGAAAGCTTGTGGTGGTTCTGCTCCAGGACCTGGCCATTGAAATGAATGGAAAACAATTCTGGGCCAGAGCTCATCCCAATCAGATGCCAGCTGATGTGGTCATGGGCACAAACCGTTATATCTGGGGAAAAAGAAGATTGTAGCCAAAACACATATCAAGTTCAGAATTCTGTGATCAAAACATCACTTACCAAACATGTATACAACACCTGCAATACAACAGGCATTGTGCAAAGTTCTAGGGGACCAAATGCTCCAGTTGTGGTTCCTGCCCTGAAAAAGCAACTGTCTGAGTGGTGGGTAAAGAGCAGTCATAACACACTGCAAACGGCATTAGAGAGGTAAAAATAAAGCCAACAGATTGGGGACATGAGCTGAAAAGCACAGATACTGCAAAGGGATTAATCCAAGGAGGGAACCAAGTAGATGACCAACCACTCAGGCTTACCTAAGACTGAGGGATTTCCGAAGATGTAGGACTTTCAGTGATAGAAATGGTAAAGCCCAAGGCAAAATGGAGTAACTGGTTACCTTAATCTGGTTTGGAGGGAATCACTAGAACCTCCAGTCCTGAGTTTAAGGGCCTAATCCTCTTAGATAGAAATCTGCCTATGGGGAGAGGGGAAGGTAATTTGAAGGTTTTCCATGGCTTCTTTACCCTCACTATTTTCTAATGACAAGGTAATAAATTGCTCTGTGGGTTACACACTACCCTTAAAATGCAGTGGAGAAGTGCTCACTATGCTGTATCCCCAGAGCGTTTCATGGATGGAGTAATGAGAACTGAGAACAAAAGCTTGGTTTTGTTCTTTCTTTGGCTCTACAGGGACTAGGACAATGCTCTTTTGCTTGGTTGCAGATTCCAACCTTCATTTCTCTCCTTGGCTTGGATTCTAACTTTCAGATGTCTAATATTGAGACATTAAATAATGAAGCTGAGAATCAGTTCCTTATTCATAGAGGGGCTTGTTTTAGGAGACTATTGTAACAAAGCAGATGTTCCTGGTGTCAGTGGTGAGAATAAGAAGCTAGAAGGTAGAAAGTCTTTCTCCACACAAAGAAATTCTCATATTGAACCCATCAATTTATGCATTTGTATTAGCATTCACCATATGTGGTCAATCTACACTTCCCCGTAAGGCAGAGTTTTACAAGCATTAAGTATTGTTTCCATGAATGACATTTCTCTACCCTGTCCTACTTACCCCTAGTTATTCTATTTTTTCATCTCTAAATTCATAAACTCTCTGTTCTGATCAAGTTATTTTAATTTTTGCAGAGATGGTCTGTATGGTGGCGGGGTGGGAGATTTTTCCTTCCATGTATTTACACAATTTTTCACTTTGCCAGGAAATAGATATTAGGGCAGATGATTAATCAATTCCTGTAAGTAAATATGTTGAAACAGCTAATAACCAAGGCCACTTGGCAAGATAGAGAAGTGAGAGAAGTTTGCATTCTGATCTCCCAAGGTTCAGGTCAGTTAACTAAGTCCTAAGTTTGCAAGTTCCTGATTTTGGAAATCAGAATCAATGCTCAGAGTTATATGAGTATGTTTTTAATAATCCAGGTGGGAGATGGGTCAAATGAAATAGAATACCTTATTAAAAACAATACTGAGTTCTTTACTTGACAACTTGTGTTTTTCAGCAGGTGAAGCCACTTGTGATTTTTAGACATGGATAATGATATCTGAGAAGCTTTGTATTTGGAAATATGGTTTATTTAGTAAGGTAGTGTTTTCATTTTCCCCTCAGACCATGCCATATACCCTAGACTGCTAGCTGTAAGTCATTTCTACCAGAAAGAGTTAACCTGGTGGTCTAGTTGGCAGTCTGTCCCTTCTTTCCCTCTTTACAGTTGCTATGACTTGGCTTTCTCTCACAGTCTTCATATAGATACAAAGGGAAAACATACTACATGCCTTGGAAGATTACTCATCCATCACCTTCTGAAATGCTAATAGTATTTTTATATGTTGGTCTTTTTCCTAATCTTTTAGTTATCTTCATTGTAAGTGTCTTAATTTCATTCTTTCTGCTGCTCCTTCTTGGTAGGGATTGACCTCGAACTTCAGTAGAAAAAGGTAAGGTCACCATGCAGCAGGGACCACAGAAATCAATGAGGAAGACTGAGCTGATATCTGCAGGTACAGGCCAAGGTGAAACCTGTTCAAAACACTATACCTAACAAGGCTGCACACTTTGTCTCTTGACTAGCTTCTAAATTGTCTGTTGCAATTCCTAGTTAAGAAAAAAGATAATATCTTGAGAACTACTGCACTAAGTTACATGATTTTCTGATTAGGAACTGAAAACCGGTGAGCATGGTCTACTTCCCTAGCGCCTTGCGAACAACAGGAGCACAGGTGCTAGTGGATCTACAATTGCTGGGCAGTGCACTGCCCACGTGGTACCTGGCATTGTCCCGTTCACATAGCCATTGACTGTGTACATTAGGGATGATGACTGGCTCCAGCTCTTGCTTTCATCAAACACAGCAAACAGCAGCACATGTTGTCTGTCAAACAGCTTCTGAGTCCCATCTTCAGCGAGGGTACCTGTGAAAGAAAAGATGGGTTTTCAATATTCCCCATAAAAGAATCTCATTATTCCTAGACAGCAAACAGTTTATGGCAAACAATCATAGTGATATCAACTTTTAAAAGATAGCATCTTTACCAAATGACAATGACTGGGGGCTTAGTAAAGTCCTGGAGCCCTATTATGTGTTTCCTCAGTACCTGATAGCCTTGGGGAATGGAGCTTTAAATGTGAAGTTCATCTGGCAAAGAATGAAAACATTTGGTGACAATCAAAACTGCAAACATATCTCTTTTCTCCAGTCTCCATAGGCCAATACATAGGAATCTTAGCTCAGGTGGCAAAAGTATCACTCCCCAAATTTAATATAGCCATCATGTTTGTACATGAAGTGAGGCATCAGAGAATTGGTTGAGAGGATCGGGATTAATCCATTCTCACATCAAGACAAAAAGCTGATGGTAAAATGAAAGAAAACATTTTCATCAGTTTTTATTTTTTTCACTGCCGTCCTATTATCTTCTACATATTAGACAATGAAAAAATGTGTTTGTAGAATGAATGAATGAATGAATGGACTGGCAATGGATGTAGGTATGGTTTGTTTGTGTGGATAGACATATGATGAATCTATCCTGTGGTAAATTCACTGTGGACAACTAGACAGATGGTGAATCCATCAAATTTTTCCCATGGTATACTTCATTATTTGTTTTAATGAAAGATAGGTTATATAATCTTGGGATACAATGAAAATTCAAGCTTACTCCTAAGAAGCGCAGCCAGTGAAATTTATTATAAAGTCAACTGAGCATTTCTGAAACCTGCCACTCAAAGAGTTGAGCTGATAAGAAACAAAGTTGGAATTTCATGTTTATAAACCAAATTACCAATCTGAACCTCAGGCATGTAGGATATGTTAGCCAGATTTCTATCCAAGAACTCTCTCATCAGAGTATAGTCCACTGCACACTTTAAAAAAGACTTTGGCATTGATCTAAATGTTACAAATCATATAAGTGCAGCATCAGAACAGACCCTCAAAATGGTTTTGCTTGGGAGAAGCTCCCAGGACTGAGATGAAGGAGGTGTTAAGAGAAACAGAGAAGAATCCAAGTCCTTAAATATTCATTGTCAAACAATGATCTGGTCTCTACACCCTTCTCTTTCTGCTTGAACAAGAAGGTACCAAGGTACTCCCAAGCCTTATCCCAGTACAGAGATCCTTACTACTCCAACATCTTTTTTGTTGTTGAATCTTTTATTAGTATCGTCTTTACCTTTCTTACAGATAAGCAGAGGTCCAATAAGCCCAGAGTTGAAGTCCTGTATCAGATCATCGTAGGAATAATAGATGTGTGTGAGGCATGGAGGGTCATCGTGTGTGGGCCCACTGTCCTCACTGATCGTCCACTCATAGGTGTATTCTTGGCCTGGAGCTACAGCATCATCCATTTTCTCCACAGGGAATGTGTGGTCAGGGTAGGAAGCACCTGAAGAAGTAGCAGTCATGAAGTCATCCAGGAAGTTCTGAGAACATCATCGCCTCCAGTCGGGGGAGCCTAAGCTGAGCTCTCTAGAGATGCACAGGAAGCTTTATTGCTTGGAAAGGTTCACGTATCATCCACGTCTATCTATCCTCATGTGGTTTCAAAGGCTTTAATACCATGGCAGTCTGAAGAACACAAAATACGACTAATCAATCACGGTTTAGAAAGCCAGTTTTTCATGGAATCTAAATAATGATTATTTAAATACAATCAGAGGTCAGCGCCCTAGCTCACTAGGCTAATCCTCAACCTGCGGTGCCGGCACCCCAGGTTCTAGTCCTGGTCGGGGTGCCGCATTCTGTCCTGATTGCTCTTCTTCCAGTTCAGCTCTCTGCTGTGGCCCGGGAGGGCAGTGGAGGATGGCCCAAGTGCTTGAGCCCCTGCACCTGCATGGGAGACCAGGAGAAGCACCTGGCTCCTGGCTTCAGATTGGCGCAGCGTGCCGGCTGTAGCGGCCATTTGGGGGTGAATCAAAGGAAGGAAGACCTTTCTCTCTGTCTCTCTCTCTCTCACTGACTAACTCTGCCTGACCAAAAAAAAAAAAAAAAAAAAAAAATCAGAGAGTTGAGTCACTTAGATCAGCAAAACATCTCAGAACATGAAAATGGATTTTATTTTCTCTGTGGAACCTGATAAGACATACCTAACTGCCTGGTCGTATGCAGCATGGATACTGCTGTTTATGTATTGTTTTATTTGTCCCATATCAACATTTTAATATCTTTGTTGTTGTTGTTGTTGTTGTTGACAGGCAGAGTGGATAGTGAGAGAGAGAGACAGAGAGAAAGGTCTTCCTTTTGCCGTTGGTTCACCCTCCAATGGCCGCCCCGGCTGACGCGCTGCGGCCGGCGCACTGTGCTGATCTGAAGCCAGGAGCCAGGTGCTTCTCCTGGTCTCCCATGGGGTGCAGGGCCCAAGCACTTGGGCCATCCTCCACTGCACTCCCTGGCCACAGCAGAGAGCTGGCCTGGAAGAGGGACAACCGGGACAGAATCCGGCGTCCCGACCGGGACTAGAACCCCGTGTGCTGGCGCCACTAGGTGGAGGATTAGCCTAGTGAGCCGCGGCGCCGGCCCAACATTTTAATATCTTTTCCCCAACTGCTGTCATAATCAACCTTGTTTCATCTCTTAATTACATTTGTGCTATTGATTATCCCAACTTTCCCTCCAGAGTTTGGCTTCTAGCACCAATAATCAGTCTAAATGTCTTTGTGAATATGAAATGTGTCTGTCCCCTGAAGTTTAGATGTTTTATTTCTGTACTTCAGGCACTCAAACACCCATTTATCAACACCTCCGCACAATGCTTACTTTTTCTACTTGCAGGAAAGGGGAAGGATGTAAAAATTGGTCTTTTTTTTAATTGAAAAATGGGAACTGAGATGCTGAAGATTAAGTGCAGAGAGATGGGTGTTTCAACAAAAAAGGAAGATGTGGTCGAGATGGAGCATTGCGGGCAGGGAAAGGAAAGGCCAGTGTCATAGAGAACCAAGAGGGGTGGGCACTTGGCCCTGCCTGGGGCATTCCTCATCTCATTCAGTGAAAGGTTCACTATTATGAGCCAGTGTCAGCATTTCTCTTTGGGATGCACCCATCTTTGGTACAATAGCTTAATAAATTCTTTGAGGTAGAAGGTGAGACCATCGCAGGAAAGAGTGTAGGCAGACAACACACACCTGAAAAAAAAGGCCTAAAATGTTACTACATGGAAACTGCTCTTACTGAAGTGACCATACCTACCGAAAATGGTAACACTCATTTCTTTCCTTTTCTTCCTTTCCCTCTATTTCTCCATATACCTCACCTCCCTTCTTTTTTTCCAAATGGAATTAAACCTTTTTTTACGAGATCTCTTGGGTCCCTTTTATTATATACCATCCCATCACGGGGACTGTACCCTCATGGCCTAAATATTCTGATTCTATCGTGTTGGGGGTCAGGGTTTCAACACAAGAATTTGGGGGGAGGCACAAGTGTCCAGTCCATTGCAGTAGCCTATCTATTTTAGCTAGCTTTAAGGAGATAAAAACTGGTAATAATACAAGGTGACTGCTCAGAATTGCCAGCAAAATCCATAAATTTCAGAGCAAGGAGAAAAAAAAGACATGGGTCTTTTGTTCTAATCCAGCCCGCAGTCCCTCAGTTTAATTCAATAACCACCACCACCACCACCATCACCGTCATCATCACCTTCATCATCATCATCATCATCACCACCACATCCCAGGTTCTGTGCTGAGAGCCAGGGTACAAATGCAAACGGGGAGCAGCAGAAACCCCTGAGAAGCCTACCCTGGCTAACAGCAGGGGACATGGTTTCACCCCTGGATTTCCTGTAGGCAGAGCTCATAATTAGAACATACTATTTCTCTGGAATGATAACCACCTGACAAATATCTAAGAATTACCTAAGGCCGGCGCCACGGCTCACTAGGATAATCTTCCGCCTGTGGTGCCAGCACACCGGGTTCTAGTCCCGGTCGTGGCACCGGATTCTGTCCCGGTTGCCCCTCTTCCAGGCCAGCTCTCTGCTGTGGCCAGGGAGTGCAGTGGAGGATGGCCCAAGTGCTTGGGCCCTGCACCCCATGGGAGACCAGGATAAGTACCTGGCTCCTGCCATCGGATCAGCGCAGTGCGCTGGCCGCAGCACGCTGGCCACAGCGGCCATTGGAGGGCGAACCAATGGCAAAGGAAGACCTTTCTCTCTGTCTCTCTCACTGTCCACTCTGCCTGTCAAAAACAATAAAATAAAAATATATAAAAAAAGAATCACCTAAAATGCCATAGCACTTATGCTAGACAGAGTTGTGTGACTGATTTTTCCATAGGTATCAACCTTATTTGCAAGCAGTTTCACATACAAGTTGTTCCAATGCAAAGTAGGTTTTACATAAATGGTTCCAATATGAATACAGTAGAAACAGTTGCTGTAGTCACATAGATCAAGGTTCATCTAATGGACCAAAGTAAATTACTCAGAATTTAGCATTCATCTGTTAATTAAAACATAAGATGATTTTCAAATAATTGAATAAATTAAGTTTACTACTAAAACATGAATTATGGGCCTCTTTTTTAATGGATATCTTGAAACAAATAGTAAACAATATAGACTTACACATAGGACATATTCTGTAATTATACTGAGCAAAGACTATAAATGAGTGAATTGGGAACAATTTTGCCAAAGCTTTTATTCTTTTTACAGAAATTATTTTATTTTACCTTTAGTCTAAAATAAAGCATGTGTGCTATATCTTTGATTTTGCAATCTACATAACATGAAGTCAGAGAAATAAACACCTATTTAGATGAATCATTTATGAAATTCATTTTTGGTGAATCCGATTATGACTTTAAATTCAAAATAAAAAATTAAAACTCCAAAAATAAAAAAGAGGGGAAATGCGCAGGAACAATCGTTGTGCTAGGGCACAAAAAGTCCTTGTTCAACTTCTTGCTAGAATAAATTCTTTACAGGAGCAGAGTCCTTCCTTGCATATTTACTCAGTTCTGTTCGCTTCCTGCTCGGTCCATAGTCAGCTTTGTAATGTGTTTACTCTTGTCCTGATGAACCCATTATTTGCCAAAGGGTGCTCAGTATTTTGTTTTAACATAAAATGGTGCCTAGAAGCTTTGGAAAGTGAGGTTAAATAAAGAGCCTCTTTGGTTACCCATCGGGGTGCTGATTCATTAAATTTTTACTTGTTACTTGCTTTTGTGAACAACTTTTTTTCTTCCCATTTAATAAACTTAGTGACTGCATTAAAACATTCAAAGATACAGAACATTCTTTCAGAAGCTATACTTTAGGCAATGGCAAATTAAAATGCTGATGTTTTGTTAATAGCCTGTTTCCATTGCACTGGGTGTTCAAGTCACTTTTAAAAGGAGATTCAGATTTCTGTGATTAATGAGAATTATTAATCATTATGATTTGTTTGGAGTACTTATCCTATAGTCAAGGAAATGTCTTCATATGGCCAAAATATTCCATGAAAAGTGAAAAATGTAATCACCTACATTATGCTGAGTATTGGAATTCTTTGGAAAAACCTAGAAATTGTTTTCATGGAGAGAATTTGGCTGCATCAAAATGCAGGGAACAATTTTCAGTGGAAATTGTATTTTTTATTTGGAAAGCTGACTTACCAGTAGATGGATAAATATTATGGAACTAATTCTCCATTACAATACTTGTAAAGTAACTCATACATTTAAAACATGATAAAATAAATCAAGTAAATAATAATGTTAAGATTAACTGTGAATATTTTACACTTTGTGTTTGTGTGTGGATGCAAACTGTTGAAAGCTTTACCTAATACGTGCTAAATTGATCTTCTGTATATAAAGATAATTGAAAATGAATCTTGATGTGAATGGAAAGGGAGAGGGAGTGGGAGAGGGGAGGGTTGCGGGGGGGGGGGGAAGCCATTGTAATCCATAAGCTGTACTTTGGAAATTTATATTCATTAAATAAAAGTTTAAAAAAAAGATTAACTGTGAAACAAACTTCACAAAGATAATGGAACAAACCAGCTTTAAAAATCTTACTAAACAACAAAATTTGCTCAAGGGGATAGATTTTCAAACACAGTTCAGTGTATGCTAGAGTTTCTTAAATTTTGGCCTCAAATTGAAATCCTTTTAATAATGGAAAATTTTATGATTAGGTAATAATTATAGATATTTAATTTCCTGACTTAAAAACATAATCCTATGAAATACTCATACATTTCTAAAGGAAATGTAAGCATTTTGTTTTTCAAATTGTGGTTTGACCATCCTGCCCAAAAGGGTAACCCATCCTTGCCCATGGGCCACCATCCAATTCTCAGCCTGTTGGTCCAGCACATTCTCCACTCCTGAAAAAATAGCTCAGACCTTAGAGGGAGGCTGTGGGTGAGGGTGAGTGTCAGACGGGGATCAGCAGACATGCTATTTTAACACAGAGTACATGATAAAATGAACTGAAAGCTTATCTTTTACCAGGAAGAACACTCGATCTATTTGCATCTATTTACCTCTCATTTCCTGGATTACATTTCACTTTCTCCACTCATCTGCATTTACCTTCCCTGAAACCAGAGGCACTACTATACACCAATAAGCAGGTCACCAATTTAAGTGGTGGGGGCATATGAAGCAATTCTTCATAAATGATTGCTGGCCATTGGGAATAAAGGGGCAAATAAACAGTAGAAGAAGAAGGTTGATGTTGCAAAGTTCATTCCCTATGCAAACAGCCTAGCTAGGGTTCAAAGTTCCTAGTCCTCTCACCACCCCCTGTTTTTGAAAAGGAGCCTACCAGGGACATTTTGACATAGAGCAGGTCTCTTTCCTCCTGTATTATGCTGTTAAATTCTTGCTGCATTCATCTGAAAGCCTCCTGAATAGTCTAAGTGGTTGTTTATAATGTGACTGTAGGATTTGGGGACCATAAGAGATATTCCTGTGTGTGCTATCTCGCAAGTCTTGCCAAACTGGCTTTTGGAGATACATGAAATCTCATAGCCAATGCTGCTTTGTTTTCTCTAGAGCGAAGGATTAAGTGCTGATAATACCCCTGGGGAAGGCAGTTCATTGTTCTGTTATCAATCACCTATACCTTGGTAGGAATGAGTCTGACAATAATTTACACTGGAAGTAATAAATATAAAGATAACTTTCTAACTCACAAATCATAAGATAAATATTAAATTATTTGAATATATTTTGATTGAAGAGTCACCTCTACTATCATAATTAATATTTATTGAGTGCTAATTAAGTGCTAGGCATTGCTCAAAGATTTCATGACAACAAGCTTGTATGAGATAGATAGAATTATCCTTGTTTTATAGATGAAGAAGATGAGGCCCAGAGAACCTTATAGTTTTACAAAAGCTACACAGCTAGTAAGTGTCTGGGCCAAGATTTTCACCTGGTTGTCTAGTTCTAGAATCTGCAATGCAAACCACTCAACTACTCAATTCCTTTCTTCTGAGGTATGATGGCTGAAACATGAGAGAAGGAAGTATAGACTTTGTGAACTGTGAAAAATATGAAGTTCTTTTAAAATGTTATTATACCAGCAACTATTTAGATAGAGATACAACTTTTAAAAAAATACTAGTTGCTAACAGAACTCCACTTTGCTGACTGTGATCTGAGCATCCGCATAATGGGAATAATTAGGTGAATATTGATAGGGGTATTTAGCACCCTATAATTCATGTGGTCACTTTCACCACTGTAGTCTTCATTATCTTTGTTGTCATCTTCATCATTAGCATCATCATCATTTATTGGGAGCTTATTGGGTCCCAGGAAACATATTTAGTACATTACCTAAATGATCTCATTTAATCCTAAAAAGCAACTTTATGGGGTAGTTATAATCATTCATTTTATTGATGAGAAAACTGAGGCTCAGAGATATTAAGGTCACAGAACCCAAAGTTATAAAACCAGAATTTAAACCTGTCTGCCTTCAAAGCTTATGTTCTTAACCATTTTACTATGCCCAAAGTTCTAATGGTACTGTCAACAGCACCACCACCAAATACCACTCATTGAGTATCATTCATGTGCCAGGTCAATCCTTTTATCAGAATAGTTCCATGCCAATGGCTCATGAACCAAATCCTGCCAGCAGCTTATTTTTGTAAATGAAGGTTTACTGGAACACCGCCATGGTCATTCATTTACATAATTATCTATAGCTACTTTAGTTCTACAATGCAGAGTTGAGTAATTGCAACAGAACTATTATGACCCTAGAAACTGAAAATATTTACCAACTGACTCTTTGTAGAAAGGTTTGCTGATCCCTGCTTTATCCCATTGAGTCTCAAGTTTTCAATTCTGCAAATATTCCAGTGACACAATATTTATTTCAAAGTTACTGTAAGTAGTATATTTATTATTCCATTTAAGTCTTTACAGGTGTCCTATATATCTATATATATATATATATATATAGAGAGAGAGAGAGAGAGAGGATAATGGGACATAACAGGTTAAACCATCTATCATTATTCCCATTTGATTTTAAAGTGAGCATACTGCAATTCAGAGATACTAGGTAATTTTCCCACCTAACTGTTAATGAACAAGAATCTAGCAAAACAAAAACAAAAACAAAAACCTGAGGTCTATGTGACTCCAGGACCTTATTTCATCTCTGAAACTTACAAATGCAAGAATTTTTACAATTTTATTATCACCAGTTACAAGAAAAAGATTTTCTCCAACAACAAGTGTTATTCAAAAATGGTGTACAAAAATTGCACATTTTCCCTTGTTAGGGAGATATTCAATTTCTCTTACCTTCTGAGAATTTGCTGTACTTAATTCCTTGAGGATGGATGCTTAAGGGTTTGTCTGCCTTGTTCTTAAAGTGAACTTTCATGATGTCTCCAACTTCAGCATATAAAGTAGGCCCAAGAAGTCCTATGGGAAAAAAAAAAGACATTTAAAACACGTCTGTGTTTAAGATTGTCAAAGACAGAGCTACCAAGCGGAAAGTTTGCAAGTAGTTATTGCCATTCCTCTTGCTCCTAAAGCTGACCTGCTTATCTTCAATCTAGAGATGTTGCCAGCTCATTAACTCTACATTAGGTTTAGTCACAGAAAAAACAAGAGGACAGGAACACTTGACCTGGACCCAAAGCAGGTGAAGAGAGTAGGGGAATACTTCTGGCAATGTCAATCTTCTGTGATCCTTTGTCTTTCCTTAGATACTTCTTCCTCTGGTCAAGGAAAGGAAGATTCATTTTCAATTATGCTGGGTGATATGAGGTTTTCTCCCAGGAGAGACCTCAGAGACCTCAGTGAAGTAAGGGAACAAATCGTGCAGATCTGGCTTTGAGGCAAGTCCAAATCTGCAAATCAGGAGTGAGCTTCATGCATCCAAGGAGCAGTAAGAAAAACTGCCTGGACTGAATGAGAAGGGATGAGGTGGTGGTGATGGGGGGGGGGGGGGCGGTGGGGAGAGGAGAGGAGCAGTGCACATCACATGAGGCCTATGGGTGCTAAGGACTTTGGGTTTTCCTCTAAGTGGAATGGGAAATCACTGGCATTTTGTGCAGAAGAGACATGATCTCATGTTTAAAAGTGCATCTAGCTGCCATGTACAGGGTAGTCTGTGTAGCAAGAAGAATGGAAGTAGAGTGATGTGGCCCTATAGGGATGGGACAACAGTGTATTGGGCCAGCATGTGCAACATTGAAGTGGTAAAAAAAGTATTTGCATTCTGGATGTAATCAAAGATAATGATAGGGGCTGGCACCTCAGCTCACTAGGCTAATCCTTCACCTGCGGCGTCGGCACCCCGGGGTTCTAGTCCCAGTTGGGGCTCTGAAATCTGTCCCGGTTGCTCCTCTTCCAGTCCAGCTCTCTGCTGAGGCCTGGGAGTGCAGTGGAGGATGGCCCAGGTCCTTGGGCCCTGTATCCGCATGGGAGACCAGGAGAAGCACCTGGCTCTTGGCTTCCAATCAGCACGGTGTGCCGGTCACAACGCGCCGGTCGCAGCAGCCACCTGAGGGGTGAACCAATGGAAAAAGGAAGACCTTTTTCTCTGTCTCTCTCTCTCTCTCTCTCTCTCTCACTGTCTAACTCTGCCTGTCAAAAAAAAAAAAAAAAAAAAAAAGATAATGATAGCAGAACTTTTTCTAATGGATTTAATGTGGCATGTGTGAGAGAGAAGTTAGATGATTACAAGGTTTTTGATGTGAGCAACTGGGCAAATAATGTTATCAGTTACTAGGATGAGGAACACAGTGGGGATAGCACGTTAAAGATACAGAAAGTGAGAGAGGTTTCACTTGCTACATTCCAGGTACTGTGCTGGGTCCCAGGGCTACCTGGTAAGTAAGAAACAGTCGCTGTGCTCAGTAGGACCTACTGCTGACAAATACCATGGGAGCAGAGGGCAGGACCAATGTTATCTGAGGAATCAGACAGCAAGTTGATATCCAAGTCAGAACTTTGGTGAATTTTACATCAGAATTCCTTAAAGTATAGTCCTTGGGGTGTCTGTATCAGAATAACCTGGGGTCGTACTCAAAGGCAGATTCTCAGCACCTCAGCCCTGGTGAAACTGAGTTCCTGGAGGCAGAGCACATGAATCTGCATTTTGACATATGAGCCCAGTGATTGTGGTGTCTTTAAAACTTGATGATCTATTGCCAAAAGCCCCATTTCAAATGAGGAACAAGAATCCACTGCTCTCACTTCCCAGCCATCCATCAGCTTGCATGAGACTGAATTCTGGCCATTAGGAATCCTGGAGACACATGGAGGTTAGAGCCATCATGATGTTCACCTGGGTCAGGGGTGGTAACTACAATAGGACTTTCACTTACTGTTCCCTTAGGATACCCAATCACTGTAAGTTCTTGCATTAATCCTCACCACCAGTCTTCAAGGTAGATACTAATTTCTTCAGTCTACAGATATGGAAACTGAAGTCAGATAATCCAGATATCTCACCTGATGTCATGCAGCTAATAATAGGTAAAGCCATGATTTAAGCTTAAATCTGCTTGACTCTACTCACCTTTAAACCGCTTCTTCATGCTACACCCCCACCTTATATTTATTCCTTCAACAATAAAACAAATATTAAGTGTTCCTATTAACCTAGGTATCAGAAAGCAATGTTGCATAAGGGTAATATTTCATGACTTCATAGGGCTTATATGATATTAAGAGGGGCTGGTGTTGTGGCATAGTGGATAAAGCTGCTGCCTGCCATGCCAGCATCCCATATGGGCACCAGTTTGAGTCCTGGCTATTACACTTCCAATCCACCTCCCTGCTAATGGCCTGGGAAAGCAGTGGAGGATGGCTCAAGTGCCTGGACCCCTAAACCCATGTGGGAAACCCAAAGGAAGCTTCTAGCTCTTGGCTTTGGATCAGCCCATCTCCAGCCATTGTGGCCATTTGGGGAGTGAAGCAGCAGATGGAAGACTCTCTGTGTCTCTCCTAGATCCCCATCCCCTGTAAATCTGCCTTCCAAATAAATAAATAAATCTTTTTTAAAAGATAGTAGGAAATATAGATTTTAACAGTCACCCAAATATTTAATTATGGACTGTGGTAAGTATCACAAAAGAAAAGTACAGGATATTCTGTAGACTATTTGGCAGAGGAACTTAGTCTAATTTTGGAGGCAGAGAAAGGGTCAGAGTTGGGGAACACTTCCCTGAAGAAGTGATACTTTAACTGAGACCAAAAAGCAGAGAGGCAGAGCCATGGGCAAGGGCATTCTGGGCAGAGGGGTGAGCGTGTACAAAGATCCCGAGGTGCCATAAACTTGGCCTATTAGATAACCAGCAGATGGTCACAGCAGAGCTCAGTAGATAAGATGGTGAGGCAGAAGTTAAAGCTGAAGGCATCATCAGATGCTCGATCATCCAGGATATCATGGGTCTTTTAGTTTGGCCTTTAATCCAAAAGTATCTAGAATCCATTAAAGAGCTTTTAGCTGGGGGACAACATTGTCCGGAATTTTATTTTGAAATCTGTTGCTACTCTGTGGAGGATAATCAGGGGGCAAACCACAGTGGATCCTGAAGAAAGAAGTTAGTCACTAAGATCAGGGCTATGGCGGTGGAGAGAATGAAGAAAGAACACAGTGGAATTGCTAAAGAGATTAAATGGGCAGGACTTGTCAATGAATTGGTCAGGGGTGAGAGAGATCAAATTTGCACGGATGGTCATGATGTTCTGGTCTGAGGAGCTGGTGGTTGATGTTGCTATTCTCTGAAAGAGAGAGCACTGTTGGAGGTTTTTTTTTTTTTTTTGATAGATGCAGTAGGCAGAATAATTCTCCTCTTCCAGATGTTCATGTCTTGATCCTTGGGACCTGTGAATATGTGAACCTATATGGCAAAAAGGCCTCTGCATCTATGATTAAGGATCTTGAGATGGAGAGGGTTTCCTGGGTTATCTAGGTTAGCTCTGGGTACTCAGAAGTGTCTTTATAAGACAATACAAGAGAATCTTAGAAAAGTATTAGAAGATGCTACTCTGCTGGTTTTGAAGATGAAGGAAAGGGCTATGAACTAATGAAAGTTGGCCACTTCTACTAACTAGGCAAGGCAAGGAGATGATTCTCCTCTAGAGCCCAAAATAACACAGCTCTGCCAAAGCCTTGATTTTAACCTGTGAAACCCACTTTGAATTTCTGACATCCAGAACTGCAAATATAAGAGAATGATTACATGTATGCTGTGGTAAGCCATTAGGTTGGTGGTAATTTGTAACCATGGAAATGGGAAACTACAATCTCTGGAATAGTGGTCCCTTCTTTCCCTACTCCTATCTTTCTACAATTGCCCTAGTTCTTTTACAAAACTTCCAGCCCTGGAATCTATCCTGATATTGTGCCTGAAGCGTTCTGTTGATTTGTTTTGGGACCATGGAAATAAAAAGTTCAATATTCGTTTTAGACATGGTTTACAAAACCTTGGAAGTGAAATTGTTGGGGGATAAAGGGGCTTGCTCACGATTAGTCAATGGTATTGCTGGGACTAGGACTCAGGCTTTTAGACTCCTGAGTCAGCGCTTTCTCTACTACCTTCCATAGAGCAGGTTTATGCCCCTGATCTTTCCGGAATAGCCCAGGTGTCTACACATTTTTGGACTCTACCATCTGACCCCTTCTTTTCTGACTGCCACCCTCCATCTTGGCTTCCTTTGGAAGAACCCTACTGGATACTCCCCCAGGTTTGGGCTGCCCATGAGACTAACAGAGTGCTGAGAGTGCTGACTCATTGTGTGCTGCATTTAGTTGCTATGGTTTTGTTGCTTGGTTGATTTGTTGGTTGGCATCACAGGGGCACAAATGCCAGATACCCAGAACAAGCCTCCCAAGTTATTTAACTTCATAAGACCTCTCATTTTGATGAACTGTTTGAGTTATTTATTCAGCCTCCCTTCCTGCTTCTTCAGGATTATGGTAAAACAAAGGGATGCTTTCATAAATGCAAATCAAATACTTTTATGCATGTAAGCAAGCATTTGACTGAGTGATTTTTGAGTTGCTCTTTAGCTTATTCATTAGCCTTTCTCACCCCTCTTCAGCATCCAGAGCTGGATTAAAGGAAGAAATGGCTTATCTTGGAGTTTGAGGAATAAAGCACAGCAGGTAAGCAATTTCACGTAGTTGTAGTTAAAAAGGACTGCAGGAGATCAGCTAATCCAATCCCTGCTGTCAGGTAAAGAATGAATTACATAACACAAACAGCCCATTGTTGCAGCTATTTTAAAAGTCCCTTGAGGACAAACATTTTATAATCTTCCTTGAAAATATGCAGACTCATGCCTTACTATTTTAAAACCCAAGAAGGATTCCTGAAAATGAGTCCAGCCCTTCCACCTGTCCACATGTCCATAATCTTGCTGGACACCCATCTTCAGATCTCAATTCTGCAGTCCAGTCCCTG